GGGGGGGGGGGGGGGGGGGGGGGGGGGGGGGGGGGGGGGGGGGGGGGGGGGGGGGGGGGGGGGGGGGGGGGGGGGGGGGGGGGGGGGGGGGGGGGGGGGGGGGGGGGGGGGGGGGGGGGGGGGGGGGGGGGGGGGGGGGGGGGGGGAACCTTACAAGTTAGAACTACTTGAAGACATTGTTAAATAGAATTCAATGTATCAAATATCAACTTGTAAGCATAAGCAACCTGCAATGCCCGTTGGACAGGTGCAGCACCACGATATAATGGCAAGAGACTTGGGTGAATATTGACAGTCCCTGAGGGATCATAATTACAAAAACGACTATTTAGACGACTCCAAGAGGAAGAAGAAAAACAATCAACTCCCAAATTTGATCAGGTTCTCTTTCCATCTCATGAAAGATTCTTCTAATCTCTTCTAGTTCAGACTGTATTTCCAATGACAGTGTTTTAATTTGGATACCAACAAGAAATTTAGGTTTACCTAATGCTGGAATATTGAGAAATTTGGTCGGTAAGATATTCCCATATGCTGCTGTAATACATAGTTCTGGTTGCAAAGCCTTTAAGGTGCTCAAAAATTTGTCCTGCAAGAAAATAAGAAGAAAAAGAGCATTCTACATGGCTTACAAAACTTTTCCGTTAACAAGAGCGTTACACAAGGTTCAAAAGTTTCAAATATAGTATTACTGTAACTAAGTCTAAAAACTGTCACCATTGATCATAGGCAGAAGTGAGAATATGTCAAAAAAAATAGGTCTTATGAAAAATAGAACTGGGATATCCTTGAGAGTATTATTGTGCGTGCATGTGCAAAGAAATAAATGAGACAAGGTTGATGTAACGGCCCAAGCCCACAGCTAGCCGATATTATCCTCTTTGGGCTTTCCCTTTCGGGCTTCCCCTCGAGGTTTTTAAAATACATCTGCTATCTAGGACTCATTCCCTTCTCCAATTGATGTGGGACCCTCCAATCCACCCCCTTTGGGGCCAAGCGTCCTTGCTAGCACACCGCCTCATGTCCAGGGTTCAACGTCCTTGCTAGCACACCGTCTCATGTCTAGGGCCTAACGTCCTTACTAGCACACCGCCTCATGTCCAGGGCCAGCGTCCTTGCTGGCACACCACCTCGTGTCCACCCCTTTCGGGGCTCGGCCTCCTCGATGGCACATCGCTCGATGTCTAGCTCTGATACCATTTGTAACGGTCCATGTCCACAGCTAACAGATATTGTCCTCTTTGGGCTTTCCCTTGAGAGGAGCCTTTCGAGTTTCCTCTCAAGGTTTTTAAAACGTTGTGTCAGAATTCAGAAATTTTATGGCTCGAATCTTTAGTATTCTCTTATTTATTACCTGNCACTTTTTTGATTATGGATCTACTACCAGAAACTCAATGCGTAATCTTAGCATTCAATGTGTATTCCTGAATAATCTCATTTTTCAATTATTCAACCATTTCATTTTACCAAGTTCAATGTTAGTCAGATTAGTCAACATTTCTATGTTTCGATGCAACAACAAGATGTTATTTGTAACAAGTAGTTTTGTTGGTTGGTTAATTGGTCACATTTTATTCATGAAATGGGTTGGATTGATATTAGTCTGGATACAGCAAAATAATTCTATTAGATCTAATAAGTACCTTGTGTCAGAATTCAGAAATTCTATGGCTCGAATCTTTAGTATTCTCTTATTTATTACCTGTGTCTACTATTTAGGCAGAATACCGTCACCCATTCTTACTAAGAAACTGAAAGAAACGGAGGGGACTAAACAGGAACAAGAGGGATCCACCGAAGAAGATACTTCTCCTTCCCTTTTTTCGGAAGAAAAGGAGGATCCGGACAAAATCGATGAAACGGAAGAGATCCGAGTGAATGGAAAGGAAAAAACAAAGGATGAATTCCACTTTAAAAGGACACGCTATCAAAAGATAAAAAGACCTGTTTATGAAACTTCTTACCCTCCGGATGGAAATAAAGAAAATTACAAAATGCTGATAGATTTAGATACAGACGAAAAAGATATCTTCTAGTTTGAAAAACCTCTTGTGACTATTCTTTTCGACTATAAATGATGGAATCGTCCACTTCGATATATAAAAAATAACAGATTAGAAAATGTTGTTAGAACTGAAATGGTACAATATTTTTTTTATACATGCCAAAGTGACGAAAAAGACAAAATAGTTTTTACATATCCACCCAGTCTATCAACTTTTTTGGAAATGATACAAAAAAAAGATATCTTTGGTCACTTTTTTCCTGATGAATTGGATAATTCTTGGAATTATCTAAATGAACAAAAAAAAAAAAAAAAAAATTTAAACAAAAAATTGATAAATAGAATAGAAATTCTGGATAAGGGATCCCCAGCTAGAGTAGGGGATGTACTGGAAAAAAGGACTCAATTATGTAATGATGAAACTGAAAACGACTATTTACCAAAAACATATGATCCTTTGTTGAGCGGACCTTACTGCAGACGAATCAGTTTTTTTTCATTCTCAATGATAAATGGAACTTCTAGAAAAAATGATAGTGAGAATGTTTGGACAAATAAGATTCATACTATCTTTCTTAATACTAATTACCCACAAATTGAAGATAAAATTGAGTCAGAAGATCGAATAAAATATTTCAAATTTTTATTCGATGCAATTATAACCCCTGACAACGATAAAGCAAGTCCTCAAAACTCGATTGGACTAAGAGAAATCCATAAAGAAGCTCCTCGATGGTCATACAAATTAATCGACGAGTTAGAACGCCGGGAGAAAGAAGAAGAACAAGAAAAAAAAGACGAAGAAGATGAAGAAGACAAAAAAAAGACGGCGCAAGATCATCAAATTCGTTCAAGAAAAGCCAAACGTGTCGTAATTTTTACCGACAATCTAAACTCTGAAGATCCAGATATTGATATTGATATCACAAATCAAGATATTGATATCACAAACCACGATATTGATATCACAAATACTGATGATTCTGACGAATCATCAGACGAAATTGTTTTGCTACGATATTCCCAACTATCGGATTTTCATCGAGACGTAATTAAAGGCTCTATGCGTTGTCAAAGACGTAAAACAGGTATTTGCAAACAGCTTCAAGCAACTGTACGTTCTTATCTTTTTTTTGACAGACAAGCCAAAGATGTTTTGTCTTCTTTTGATATTCCCGGAATAATAAAAACGCTTTTTAGACCTTGGATATCGAAAAACACAGAATTGACTATTTCGGATAATACACAGGAAAAGCCAGAGGAAAATGAAACAAAAGCGGTGATGATAAGAAGAGCCAAGGAGGAAGAGAAACAAACATGTATAGAAAGATCAGAAACCTGGGATAAGGCACTACTTGGTCAAGTAATAAGAAGTTGTTTGTTAGTAACTCACTCATTTATTAAATAAATTATATTGTGATACCCTCATCTACTAGGGAGAGGTTTCCACACCTTTATAAAGAATGTTTCGTTCTCCTCCTCAACCAATGTAGGATCTCACGGTTGATCAAAAAATTCTAGGTAAATCTCTTTACCACAAATAAAAAAGAAATAGACTAGCAGTAACCAATGGCGAATGGATGATCATCCACCATATCTTTTAGTCTTCATAAATACAACAAATTTATCATGCATTTACAAAATAAACATACAAGGTCATTCTTCAAAGTAAGAGCTAAACTTGATGCCCAGCGTTGTAAACTTGTACTCTCACACCATGCTAATATTTTAGAACTTTCCACATTTTCAAAATTCAGATGTTTCTATCATCATGGCAAGCAGAAGCAATAACTTAAAATGACACTTCTTCCTTAACATGATCTACAACAACTTCACTTCAAATAAAAAGTAACATTACCTCTCCAGCTTTTTCAGGTGTAAGAATAAGGTCAGAAGAGAAGCCTTTATCAAGAGCATATTGCGCAACTGGAGAAGGCATCATCTTTCTCCCCCTATCTCTTCTAGACGGTGGCTGAGTAACAATAGCTGCAACCTAAATGGATTAACAGTAGTTATATCAAAATTACATTTCAGAGATTCGTATCGACCAGATACAAGACTGCATTGAAGAGCCAACGGCTGAAAAATGGTAATGGATACCTCAAAAGCTGCATCGGCGGCGAAAGAGGCGTTAAAAAGAGCATCAAGAACTGTAGTCGAGACCTAGGAAAAAGGAATTTCTTCCGATTAAACAAAGAAAGGAGAATAGAAAGAGCTGCAGAGAGAAGAGAAAACCTGAGGAGAACCGAGGAAAACGAGGGGCTTCTTCTTGGAGAAAACGGAAGAGGAGGAGGAGGAAGGAGAAGTTGCTGAATGTAAACAGCAAAAGCGACGAAAAAAGAGCGAAGAAGCCATTGATGTAGTTCCTTCAATGGCGGATTGGGGCTTCGGCTTCGTCTTGGCTCTTCACTGTTTATCCACTTTCAACCAGCCATGGAGAAGGTGACTCAGAAACTCACAGATGGGAAATCCCGCTTGGATTGATTTTCCAAAGCTCACTTTTTTTTTTTTTTTTTCTCTTTTTCTTTTTATTATTTTGATCAAATTATAAATTTCGTATTTCTTTAAATTCTAAAAAAGATTTATTTTTTAATTTCAAAGTTATTTATTTCAATTATTAAATCCTTAAATATTCAATTTTAGGTTAACTAGATTTATTTACTTCAATTTTGTGAACATTTTCAATATTCTTTGAAATTTATAATCTTTTCGCAAAAAATTAAATTTAGTTATTTTTTTTTTCATAATAATAATTTTCTTTCTATAAAAACCTCTAACATCATTTTAAAGGTTAAAGAAAATTGAAAGTTTAAAGTCAGTGTTAGGTGATTTTTAAATTTTACCGACTAAATGAACATTGAATACATACCTTATTCTATATCGCTTAAGACATCAATTAATAATTGTATCAATTATAATATTACGACGTGTTTGATTGATTTAACAAATATTTGCTTCCAAAATTTATTTATGATTTTTTTAAAAAAATTTATCCAACTTTTGTCTCTTTATGTTATTCAATGTGAACGTGTAAATAAGAAGTCAAAATAAGTATAATTTAGTAGTACTTGTTATGTACTATCGACTAAAAGGTTAAAAGTTCGAATTCATGCCGTTAAATTCAAAAGAAAAAGAAAATCACATAACAAGTTTATATATTCCTAAATTACTTATCAAACAAGCCCGAAGTCTCCACTTCAAGTTAAAATTTTCAAAACTCAACTTCCAATCTAATTCGCTTTTCAAATCAATGAGTAAAACCTCTTCCAATGCTTCATGATCAATCATTCAAAATATCCAGTCTAGAGATCCTCGATCAATCCATGTGCAACACATTTGACTAAAAAAGGAGGCATTCGAAGATGATTTTGTTTCAAAACATAGCTCGTTACTCTTATGAGCTTTGGAGTACTTTCTTTTATTTCTAGAAACAAAGGAAATTAGTGTTATATAGAGGAAACTAATAGATACTTAAAACTTTAAAAACTTGGTAACAAGTTCATAAATATTCTACTTTGTCCAATGAGCCTCCTCAAATATGTCATTGACCCATTCCACATTTTTTTAAAAAATTCTCAAACCTATGCAAGTTTAGTGTTATATTCAATACAAAATTCAATTGTAAGTGTAATAAATTCTTTAATTTTGGACAATGTTGAATATGCTATCCATCTATCATACACAAAAGATGCATTTTATTACTGGATATGCATGATAAAAGATGATGATATGCACAAAAGCATGCACCAAGTCCTTCCCCCCCAGATAGAAAGTTTAGGTGACAAAGATCAGAGCCAGCCAACAACGTTAAGACAGTTTAAACAATAATTGAGCTTTGTTTTAAAATGAATGTGCACCTGTGATGATCCTCAATGTTGGTCCTCAGCGTGAAGGCCAAATGCGAATCTCCAAGATCGTCTGGGCTGAAGAAGATCCGAAGAACTCATTTGGAATCAAAAGCGATCCCTTGGAAGGAGGATCTTCAGTCCAACGTTGGATCTCCTTCGCCACTGATAGCAAAGAAAGAACATTCCCGTGTGATTTGGCTTTAATATCATAACAAAACTTTTTCTCAGACGACCGAGGTCCAATCCTTTTCAAAGTAACCGCATCACCAAAAGTTTCAAACGAGTAAGAGAGGACAAACAAAACACCATCGTTCTCTGCTTGAAAGATACAATATTTATCATCACTGTTCAAGCATATTGTGAACCTTGAATTGTATGAGATGCTTTTGGCGGAGTCTTGGTGCCTTTTTCTGAAGTGTGACCCCAAATGCTCTGCCGAATCAACATAAGAGCAATCAGATAAAGGGCACGAACAGGGTTGATATGGGCACAATGTCTCATGCTCATTTATTTGGTTCAAATTCGTTGTAGTTTTGCATCCGTATCTTGAGTTTTGGCAGGGCATCTTAATTGATTCAAGAACCTTCTCGATCGCTCTGCAACGCATGTAGCCAATTGGCAAGCTGCAGCTAGGGCATTTATTGTGAACTTTGGAGCAGCAGCTAGAACAAGAAATATGCCCATTCTCACACTAATTCATCCAACAATCAACATCTCAGCACCAAAGTATATGCTATATGACATAAAATAGACTCAAAGATAACAAGAAAAGAGATTATATACACCAATATATGCTTATTTTCTTCTATATTCATCCCTTTCAAGTTCAAGGTGAAAAAAATATCAAATAAGTACAGCTTGATTTTTGGCATTTGCTCGAGATAATGTAACAAGAAAAGCAATTCAGGGCAAGATTGATAGGAACAAGGGACCTTCACATTAGAATGATATTGTCCAGTATGAGTATAATCTCTCATGGCTTGGCCTTTGATTTCCCTAAACGCTTCATACCAAAGAAGATAGTGTCCCTTATTTATATACCCACGGTCTTCCATCTTAATTGGCCAATGTGGGACTTCAACAATCCTCAACAATCCTCCCTTCGAACAGAGTACACTATTGCGTCTCTTTTTAATAGTCACGTGTCTGTCTTAACACTATTTTAGACAACTCCTCTTTTCTAGAGCACATTGCTAGTTCAATAGAGCTCTACCACGGATCTTCACTATGACTACAACTTCGAGGCTCACTTTTTTTTTTTGTTCGACATCTAAGTCACACCTTCTAGGCTCACAACTTTTTTTATTCGAAACCTGAGGATTCTATGGAAACCGCTAAGTTAAGATAAGAATAAGACTATGATACTACTTGATAGGAACATGTGGGCCACAATGATGTGATAAGCTCTCATGGCTTTACTTTTGGTTTCTCCAAAAGGCTTCATACCAATGAAGATAGTATCCGTTGCTTATATACTCATAGCCTTCCTCATAGCCAACGTAGACTCCAACAATCCTCACCAAAGATTTCAATTCAATCCCAACCATTTGTGATTATGTCCCCATAATATCCAGAATAATTTTCATGTTCAAAGATTATTTACATCAAAACATTTGATATCTTCAGTTCTACAATCCATACCTCCACGATCTTTGCCAATAACTGTTCAAAACTTCGGCATATTTCTTTAATTTTTATCATAATCCATAACTTCCATTGGAAATCCACAGTCTGCACAATAAACTTCTAAACGAGAAGGTTAAAATCTCATAGTAAGGGGGATTTGGAAACCGTCAAATCCAGCAAACACACTAAGTGAACTACAGTAGTCAAAATTGCAAGAAAAAAAATGGACGAGAAGAACAAAGCATCATAGACAAGAAGATTAACAAGAACGATAATCGTAAGCAAAATGCAAGCGGAAAAAAAGCTTAATCGAACCTGGTAAACAGGAACGGACAAGGGCACGCAACAAATATAGCAATCGAGAACTTGAGGATCGGTAAGTATGACTTTCATCGTCTCGTTCTTCCATCTGCTAGAGTTGACCGAACTTCGCCTCTCCTTTTCGCCGTCCGATGATCGAGAACCCGCCATGTTTTATTTCTTCTTCTTCTTCTTCTTCTTCAAGTCAGCCTCTTCTCTTCTTCAGACTGAGAGAGTAAACTATTCTGATGGTTGAAGTCTTTGTTAAGAGAAAAATCATTTTTATACCGAAAGTAAGGGGTAGTTTCGTCATTTGGTCTCTTAAAAATCTCATTTTTTATTTTGTTTCTCGTTTCTTTTGTACGCCGAAAAATTGGGCAGTGGTTTCAATAAAAGGTTCATTAAAAATAAATAAGCTAAACAGTAACCTCCTTACGTTCCGCGGCCTCAACTTTTTGTCTCATATTTAAAGAATTTTTTTAAAAATAATTTTAAGCTTAATTTTAAAATATTTATAAAACATAAAATAGAGTTACATATATATTTTATATATGCAAATATATAGATATTTACGTACTTAGCATATAGTTTTTTCTATTTGTTATTATTTACGTATCATGGTAATTTATTTGATTATAAATAGAAAATTGGTGCTGTGATTTTAGAATACATAATTTAGGTGCGGTAATTTTAGCAAATATTCTCCCTACCTATTTAAATTTTATGTTTAAAAGAAACTGAAAAATTTTGAAATTTTGAAATATTTAAAAATTAATTTATTGAATATAAATTTGAATTTTAGGCGTAAATCTATGAATTTAAAAAAAAAATTAAAGATTTAACATTTTTTAAAAATATTTCCAACATTTTCAATCAAACATAATTTTTTTTTTTTTTTTTTGTAATAACAATTAAAAATAAACCAAAAGGGCTTTTTGTCCAACATTTAAATAACTTTTTTATTTATTTTAAGTTTGATTTTAAAATATTTATAAAACATTAAAAGAAAAAAAGTTTGAAGTTTGAATTTGATTTATTGTATATAGATTTAAATCTGATGAAAACTCTAAAATTTTAAATTTTTGGAATATTAACTTTTTTTTTAAAAAAAATTAACTGAATGAATATAAATTTGAATTGTATGCTTGAATGCTCAAATTTTTGTTTAGTAAATCTATCAATTAAAAAAAAAAAAAAAAATCAAACGTTCAACATTTTTTTAAAATGTTTCCAACTTTTTCAATCAAACATAAAACTATATATTCTTTTTTTAATAACATTTAAAAATAAACCAAAAGGGTGAAAATATTTATTAAAAAAAAAACGTGAAAAATAGGCAACGGTAAATTTGTAAATTTGAATCACCATGCTTTTGTTAGTTCTCAACAATCTAAATATCTAACTTTCAATTTTGTGTCTAATTAATTCTTAGACTTTAAAAAGTCTATAAATGTTTTACTTTGTATGTAAAAATCCTCAAGCTTTCAATTTTGTTTCCAATACGTCAGGGACCCATTCGACATTTTTTTTTTTTTTTTTCTAAATTCACAAACCTATGCAAGCTTAATGTTCTATTCCATACAAAATTAAAATTAAAAGTTCAACAAACCCATATAGATATATATGCACAAAAGTATGCACCAAGTCCTTCCCAAAAAAACAAAGAAAACACAGATGCAAAGATTAACTCAGTTTAAACAATAATTCAGCTTTGTTTCAAAAAATGTATGCGCACCTGTGTTGATCCCCAGTGTTTGTCTTCAGCGTGAAGGCCAAATGCGAATCTCCAAGATCGTCTGGGCTGAAGAAGATCCGAAGAACTCATTTGGAATCAAAAGCGATCCCTTGAAAGGAGGATCTTCAGTCCAACGTTGGATCTCCTTCGCCACTGATTGCAAAGAAAGAACACTCCCCTGTGATTTGGCTTTGATATCATAACAAAACTTCTTCTCAGACAACGGAGATCCAATCCGGCTCAAAGTAACCGCATTACCAAAGATTTCAAACGAGTAAGACAGGACAAACAAAGCATCATCGTTCTCTGCTTGAAAGATACGATATCTATCACCACTGTTCAAGCATATTGTGAACCTTGAATTGTATAAGAAGCTTTTGGCTGAGTCTTGGTGCCTTTTTCTGAAGTGTGACCCCAAATGCTCTGCCGAATCAACATAAGAGCAATCAGATATAGGGCACGAACAGGGTTCATATGGGCACGATGTCTCGTGCTCGTTTATCTGGTTCAAATTCATTGTGATTTTGCATCCATATTTTGAGTTTTGGCATGGTATCTTGATTGATTCAAGAACCTTCTCGATCGCCCTGCAACGTATGTAGCCGATGGCCAAGCTGCAGCTAGGGCATTTATTGTGAACTTTGGAGCAGCAACTAGAGCAAGAAATATGCCCGTTCTCACACTAATTCATCCAACAACCAACATCTCAACACCAGAGTAAATGTTATGAAATAAAATAGACGCATAGAAAACAAAATGAGATATACTATATACACCAATATAAGCTTATTTTCTTCTGGATTCATCCTTTCAAATTCATGTTTGTAAACAATGAAGAAAATCCCACAATCCACACGATTGAACCCCAAGTCAAGCACGACTTGATTCTGACATTTGCTCAGACACGAAGCTAAAAGTATCAAGATAGGCAAATTCAGGAAAAGATTTCATTTCAATCCCATCCATTTAACGACTCTGTCCCCATAATATCCAGAAGAATCTCCATGTTCAAAGATTATTTGAATCAAAACATTTAATAACTTCAGTTCTACAATTCATTCCATTGTTGAGGATTAATGAAAGTAGTCTTTGATTAAGAGGAAAATCATGAGTAAAGAACACTATTTTTATTGGTACGAGACATTTTGGAAAAACAAAAAACAAAGTCATGAGAGCTTATGCTCATAGTGAACAATATCATGTCATTCGTGGAGATTTGTGATTCCTTAACATGCTTTCAAAGTCATGTCATTAACTTAGCCATGTCGATAGAATCCTCAAGTGTCGAACAAAGAAGTTGTGAGCCTTGAAGGTGTGTAAAAAATGACTCAAGTGTCAAACAAATGATGTACTTTGTTCGAGGGCTCCAAATAAAGGAGTCGAGTTTCGATTAAAGAGAGGCTATTCGATAGCTCCATAGACCTTAGAGGAGGCTCTATGGTGTACTTTGTTCGAGGGATTAATGAAAGGAGTAGTCCAACATTGACTAATTTAGAGAAAAATCTTGAATTTATAGGTAAGGAATAGAAAGATCATGAGTTTATAAATAAGAATACTATGTCCACTGGTACAAGGTCTTTTGAGGAAACTAATAGAAGCTAAAAGTGACAATATCACATAATTTTGGAGGTTCGTGATTCCTAACGTGCATAACTCAGTGAACTTTGCCAATAACAGTTCAAAACTTCGCCATATTTCTTCAATTCTTTATCATAATCCATAACTTCCGATGGAGATCCACAGTCAACAAAAAATAATCAAAAAGATAAGTTAAAAACCTCATAGAAAGGAGGATTCCAAAATCGTCAATTCCAGCCAAAACACTAAGTGAACTACAGTAGTCAAAATTGCAAAAAAAGAAAAAAGAAAAAAAAAAAAGAAGGACGAGAAGAACAAAGCATCAGACACAAGAAGATTAACAATAACGATAATTGCAAGCAAGATACAAGCGAACAAAAAGCTTAATCGGACCTGGTAAACAGGAACTGACAAGGGCTCGCAACAAATATAGCAATCGAGAATTTGAGGATCAGTGAATATGACTTTCATCGCCTCGTTCTTCCCTCTGCTACAGTTGACCGAACGCCGCCTCTCCTTTTCGCCGTCCGATGATCGAGAATCCGCCATTTGTTCTTCTACAAGTCAGTCTCTTCTCTTCGTCAGACCGTGAGGAAGAAGACTTTTCTGATCATCCAAGTCTTTCCGTCGTGAAAAAAACAGTTTTATTCCGAAATTGAGGGGTAGTTTCGTCATTTAAAAAAAACATTTTTTATATTTCTCATTTCTTTTCTACTTTATCTGCGGTCGTATCAATAAAGGTTCATTAAAAAAAAAACTAAATATTGACCTGGTTGGATTTGACGGTTCAAATCTCGGTATCCATTTTTTTGTATTCAAATTATTAACATTTTAAAATACATTTATAATAGAAATTCTAGAATGAACCACGTCCCACAACCTAGATTTTTTTATCTAATATTTTAATAAAAAAATTTACTTAATTTTAATTTTGATATACAAATTTAAATTTTATGTTCGAAAAAATCATGAAATTTCAATTTTATAATTAATAAATTTGTGAAAACTTTAAAATTTTTAAAAATTAATTCTCCCGAGTCTTATAATTAATAAACTCAAATCCATTATAATTAAATAAGCAATAAATCCATGAAATCGTGTCAATCATAACATAACATATAACATATATAAAGGTTAGAGATTTGAATTTCAATATATACTAAAATCTAACCAAAAAAATATGCAACATAACTATAAAATCAAATCAATTAAAATATTCATAAATTCAACGATAAAATCCCTAATTAAACTTAAAAATATATATCCCAACACAATCAAATAAATCAATAGTTATATGAATAGTTCTAGATTTAAAAGTAAATAAATAAAAGAAAACTTCAATGGAGGGTGTAAATTAAATTTCACCTCTCGCTAAATATCAACTTTAACGTTAAATTTTAACTCAGTTAAAAATTGAGGTAAAAGACTGATTTTTTATTTTTTATTTTTTGTTGATAACAATTAAAAATAAACCAAAAGGGTGAAAATATTAAAAAAATAAAATAAAATAAACGGTGAAAATGGGTCGACGGTAAATTTGAAGCACTAGCTTCCACTTTGCTGACGGTAACTAAATGGAGTCTCGTCTTTAGAGGCACCTTTTTACCCACAGTCAACAAAGGGAAGCTAGTTACCATTGTTTTGACCACCCAAAACGACGACGTATGGACAACTACTTTGCCTTCTTCCTTTCATATGCCCCCTTCAAAGCAGTGCTCTTGTGATCTTCCTACATATCACCCTCGTCTATTTATAGGGCCCCAAGGTCCTTTTTCTACTCTAATGAAATGATAAAAATAGCCCTAAACTTTTAAATTATTAGGTGAATAAAAACGAAAAGCAAATGCATTGAATTTGAAATTCGAGTATTTGGTGTGTTTAGGTATATTTGGTAAATTCAATTAATTTATATAGGTATTTTAAGTAATGGACAATAACAAAATTGAAGAAAACAAATTGTAATGGACGCATCTTTTGTCAGAGAGAATTTCCTCTTTCACCCCTAACAAATTTAGTATATAATTAACTATATTAATATTTTTGATGAAGCAAAGCACGATCTGCAAAAATAAATCTCAGTAGTAATTGATATATTTCTTCTTTTGAGGTTGAAGGTTCAAATTCTGATACCCCATTTATACCCCATTTATTGCATCAAAAAGAAAGAAAGAAAAGATCATGATCCAGAGTTTGAGAATGACAGTTTCAAGAGGTATATGTGAGAATCATGACCAGAAAATATGATATATTTTACATAATAGGAAGACATAAATTGAAACTTATATATCTTCGAAAATGATATTCTCTTAATTTCCAAATAAAAGATGATAAATCTTTTTTTACCCCACCCAACATTTCAGATAGGATATGAATATGTACACATGATTTCATGACGAAAAGGAAATTAAAGACTTGCATGAAAGAAGGGGACCTTGAGAAAGGTTGTCGGTTCGATCTATGGTATTAAACGTCGTCGTAGGACGAGTGTGGAGCAGCGGTACATCCCGGATCAAAAGGATCCTCAGACCCACAGCAATGCCAGTATTGTAAGACTTTGCCAGAGTCTGGAGTGTCCATTGTTCCTCCTGTGTGTACACTTTCAAACTTACGCTTTGTTTCACCTGTATAAAGAAAGAACAACACAGGAATAGGTTATGTTTTGAGCAGAAAATACGTGCAAATCAAGGTAGGAATCAAGTAGTGACTCGAGAAGTTGGAACTTGGACTTTCAGAAAGAAATCAAGAATGACTTGAAGTAGTAAATTGAATTGTAGTCTATTTCCAATCCTCAAAATTATTCAAACCTTCTCGTTTTGAGTGATTCAACATAACATTTTTGAGTTTCACAGTCAATCTCAGTCTTTCGATAATCCAATCGATATCAGTCAGCATAAATTTGGTTATACACAAGGTTTGAATTATTCACAATTTCTAAGGCCATGTTTGATACCTATTTGTTTTTTGTTCTTTGTTTCGTTGTTGTAAATGCTTTCAAAATCCAAGCGATTAAAGCTATTGTTTAAAGCAACTCAATCAGAAAGGAAAGCAGAAGGCTTTTACTTGCAGAGTCCACAAAAGTCATCAGTGGTAAAGAGCTAGAATTTGGATCCAAATCCAATTTTTTTTTAACTTATTTCAGTTTAGGAAGTTCCTACTAATCTTTCATATATTCTACTTCTAACTTCGTAAGAAAAACTATTTAACCCCTGATCATGATATTTTTGTATATAATGTAACGGAGACCTAACACAACACAAGTTTAATTTGTTTGCATCATGAACAGATATCTACAAGTATTTGAAGTAAAAGAAGTACCAAAAGTAAATTGATGAGAATAGGTTATAAACCTTCAATTTACAGTGTCCATCAAGCAGCACCTTGATTACAAATGACATAAGTATTACAAATCATGGATAATCAAGAGCTGAGCAGCAACCAAAGCTTTAAATAAACGCATTTAAATTGTACAAATGGAAACGCAAAATGGCTATGAAGTTGAACAAAACACAACTAACTTTGGATGTTAAGATTTTGGTTCCTCGATTATTAGGATTATTTCAACATGATTCTTGATTTTCAAAATGTCAATTTCAGTCCCTAAATTTTAAAAAGTAATCATTTTGGTCCTGACAGGACCAAAGTTGTTACTTGTTAAAATTTTAAGGACTAATATGGCATTTTGTAAGTAAAAACTAGGGACTTAAACTATGAAATAAGTATGAAATAAGTACCAAAACGTAATTGAAGAGAAGGTTAGGAATGCAAACCTATCACATAAGGTCCGAAGAAAGCTGCGTTGAACATGAAATAAAACTTGATTGAGGACAAAGGAACCTCGCCTAAGGTCCGAAGAAGCCACAAAAAGGGTGAAAAAGTTGGGGTTTGAGTTCACCTCAAGAATAGCCACGAGTGAGGGTATATCATGGCATCACACGATAGGAAGATTATGTCCATGATAAGTGGTATAAGAACCATGCCCCTAACTTAGCCATGTCTAGTAAAATTCTCGAATACCTAACAAAGTGATAAGTCTCAAATAGACATAGTCATGTAGGATTGTGGATGAATCCTCAAATGTCAAACAAGTGTGTTTGAGGGGAGGATTGCTAAGGGTATGCTAAGGAATGATCTACGTCGTGTAATCCACAATGCGATTAGTGGTGGAGCTCTATCGAATACGAGGTGTACTCTAAAGAAGAGTTATGTCCTGAATGAGAGCAAACTCTAGGTGAAGCCAGATAATTGGACAGATGGAATGCCTATTAAGGGTAGGATTATTGGGAATGCAAACAAAATCATACATTGAAGTATGTAATTTCCAGTTTCCATCAAGAAGCACATTGTACAACTGACTAAACGGTGACTACAAATCATAATCAAATCAAAAGCAGAGAAGAAACTAAACCTTTTAACACACTCAAATTGTACATCACAGAAACGAAAAGCGGAAATGAAATCGGAAGAACTACAAACAACTTAGGGCGTTACCTCCAAAATGAGCAGTGTGAAATCGGCAAGCTCGAGGATGATTAAGGGAAGGATCAAATTGCGCCTTGCAATTCCTGCAAGTTCTAAGCGTCAATTGATTGCTAGAATTCGCAGAGCTACGGATTCTATATATTTTCGGCGAATTTGCACTCAGTTTCGAAGTGCGATTCAAACAACCGGAACGAAAATCTCTAACTTCTGAATGGAAAGAAATGAAACGAGCTGATAAACAGCAACAATGGAGATTTAGAGCCATTGCTCCGAAATGGTAGATTTCTGTAACAGTCATAGATGAAGTCAGGAGTTCGTTCTAATTTCTATTTGAGGAGCCGAATCCGTGGAATCGGTAAACCAGAGGTTCTTATTAAATTCTTGAAATTATAGATTTTTCCTTTTCTTAAAATAATATTTAGAAAATCGAATCATTTTAACAAAATTTTAAAAAGTCAATAAATAAACTATTTAAATATCATTTTAGCCCTTAAAATATTCGTTTTTATTTATTATGTGGGTAAAATTTAATCAATGAAAATCCTTTAAAATAAATTTATAATTACCTTTCATAAAATTTATTCTCTAAATTTTTGTAAAAATAATAATTAGAGAAGAAATTGATAAATTTTAAAAATATTTTTAAAAAATGGAAAAAAAATATAAAAAAATTATTTGGGTTTAATATGTTATTATTTAAATCAAAATAATTTTGTAAATAATTTAAATTATATTTAAAATTGAGAAAAATAAGTTTATTTTGTTGGAGATACCAAATTCCGGCAACCCCAATCTTGGATTTCTAGACGGCTCCCTGAAAGGAACGAAAATGGAGTTGAGTTTCACATACGCAGCTTCTCCTTCGCTTCACAGCAGGCTTATGTGCTACAACCATGGAGTTTTAGCTTCTCCCTTTCCAGTTTCCACTCCTTTCAAGCACTCTCATGGCGCTAATTCTAGTTCTAATGCTTTTAGAATCAGAAAATCCGTTCCCGTCGCGGCGGTGAAGGCCTCGCTCAGTTCGTCACCTCTGAGACGAACCTTATCCAGTAATTGGGATGTTTTGGGAAACTATTCTGCAGCTTCGACGCCAGCGCTGCCTCGATTCGAAGAGCTCGATACAACCAATATGCTTCTACGCCAGCGAATCATCTTCTTGGGCTCTCAGGTAATCTCTCCAACAATTTCCTGATTTATGAACTTCCTGGTCCATTTCTTTGATTTTTGTTTGAATTTTGTGGTGCTTTTTAGTGGGTTTGAATTATGAGGTTTTGGTTTCTGGCAGGTTGATGACATGACGGCAGATTTCATCATAAGCCAGCTACTCTTTCTTGATGCTGAAGATCCAACAAAGGATATCAAATTGTTAATCAACTCACCTGGTGGTTCTGTTACTGCTGGTATTTTCTGCATCATTTTACTTTTATCATGAAATCCTTGATTATTTTTTTTTTCTTCTGACTTATGCATTATAGTTCTGTTCTAAAGTAGTTGGATTGGAAGGATGCTCTCGTAGAATCTTTATGGTTCAAACCTGCTTCCCTGCATTCTTTAATAATGATTTTAGTTTTGGCCTCAAATGAGTTTCTTATTGCTCCAATGCGCTCGTATGTAGAATGGAAATTGCATAGTTCGACTTTTCTTACTTAAATGAGTTCAACTGCCTTCTGTGTTGATCAAGTTCAGATAATAGAACAACAATTTCTCTTTCAGCCTTCACCCCCTTTGCATTGAATGTAGTTCTCAATCCAAGATAAGCATATTTCAAAATTGTGGAATCATTGAAACATTTAAGATGCAGTGTCGTCGGGGATTGAGAAAAGATCAGGTTACATGGGTTTTGACTTGATTATTCTCACTTTGGAAGTAGCTTGGGAACTGCCATGTTTGAGTAAGGATCATAATTCGTCTAGTTGTGAGGCAAGAGTGTCTGTTATTGGTTGTGTTATTGTACTTCGTTTTGTGAATAAAATATTATGAGACCAATTCATGTGTTCGAATCTGCGAACCGCTTGATATGCTTAGTTTTCAAAAATATTCTTATTTATCAGGTGTTCAGTTGGCTAGTTTTTACTTTTTAGCACCATGGACGTAACTTTTGCCATCGACCAAATAAAAATTATTGTATGTGGTGTGGCATTAATGGGGCAAGAGCTTGGATGATATGCGTATAACCTGATTCAAGTTCATAACAGATTCTCGGTGTGGGGCTGGTTTCATTTCTCCAACGGTCTTAAGAAGGATGTTATAAAGAAAAAAAATTACAACACCCATTCTATAGCCAGTCCAGTTTACTCCTGGATGCCTCGGTACATTTGTAGTAACTCTGGCAGATGAAGCCACGTACCTACCGAAGCAGTTGTCTATTCCATTATTTCTCATAACTAAAAACTGCCCTTCTTTTGTTTGTTTATATTTTGTTCCTTGGTCTCTTCATTCTTCAATCATATAAAGGGCTTCTCAAGTACATCTTTGGAATTCCACTTTTTTCTTTCGGGCTATCTCTAATGTTGAAGGGTGTCATTTCAATCCATGTTTGTTGCTCGACATTTTTTTTGCCTGCATGTAGGAATGGGAATATATGATGCAATGAAGTTGTGCAAGGCCGATGTTTCAACGGTTTGTATGGGACTTGCCGCATCCATGGGAGCTTTTCTTCTAGCTTCTGGTTCAAAGGGAAAGCGATTCTGCATGCCCAATGGTAGAGTGATGATCCATCAACCTCTTGGAACAGCTGGAGGGAGAGTGAGTAGTAGACTCTTGTTTTCTGCGCTTTGATGTTAAGTGAATGCCATTTTGTCCACCGTGATTGTAATTTTTGTTTCACCTTCATATTTTTTTTCTTTTTTAGTCCTAGTTGAATGCGTGAAACATTAAAAACATTTACATAACTCCTTTCTCATTTTGTTAAGTGGTTTCATGGTAGGTAGCTAAAATCAATAGTACTTGGAGATGCTGACACGTCTTCCAATTAATTAATTCCTGAGTGTTGCATAATTTAGTTGTTATGAACTCGATTTATATGTGTGTGAACTTGTATATAAGGTCGCAACGTTTGGTGCTATTCATATAAGAGCAGCATGGAATCAAATACTGGAAACTTATTGACATTGCCTGTTGATCTATGTGATAAGTTGATTTGAGCTTCCACTTATGGTCTCCCCGAATCACTTTGTAATTCGCTGGTTAACCCGTCCATGCCAGGCGACAGATATGAGCATCCGGCTACGAGAGATGGCGTATCACAAGATTAAGCTGAACAAAATTTTGTCTAGGATCACAGGAAAACCATTGGAGCAGGTTTGCGTCTACATTGTGTCTTTAACCATCTATCTGGTTCTCAGTTTCTTGCTGGAACCCTTGATGTTTACAAGTTTTCGTTTGCAGATTGAATTGGACACGGATCGTGATAACTTCATGAATCCCTGGGAAGCAAAGGAATATGGTTTGATTGATGAAGTTATTGATGATGGAAAGCCAGGACTCATTGCTCCAATCGCAGAAGCCAATCCTCCGCCCAAGACCCGAGTTTGGGATCTATGGAAGATCGAAGGGAGTCGTAAAGCTAAGAAGAATTTGCCTTCAGAAACCAAGATTTTGCAGAATGGATACCAAGGAAGTGATGAGGAGCGCAGTCCCCAGCCAGAAACAGAAGAACCAAGTCCTAAATGACAGGACACCCGCCCTGTTCTTCCATTATTGTATCCTACTTTGTTCTTTCCATTCTCAAATACCTCCTTCTCTGTAAGATTTTAAAAAGGTTATTATTACCAATCAGTTAAAACCAGTTATAGGTTCTGGAAAATTCAAGAGTCCAAGCAATCCCTTCTCTCGAGTCGATATCTGAATCCGTGTCAAAACCTCAGTACGACATGAACGGTGAGACTTAGTTCTGTCAAGGCCCATATCCACCGCTAGCAGATATTGTCCTCTTTGGGGTTTCCCTTTCGGGCTTCCCTTTCCACACCTTTATAAATGGTGTTTTGTTCTTCTCACCAATCAATGTGCGATATCACAATCCACCCACCTTCGGGGCCCAACATTCTTACTGGCACATCGCCTCGTGTCTACCCCCTTCGGGGAGCAGCGAGAAAACTGAAACATCGTCTGGTTTCTAGCTCTAATACCATTTGTAAAGGTCTATATCCACCACTAACAGATATTGTCCTCTTTGAGATTTTCCTTAGGCTTCCTGCAAGAGCAAAGTTTCCACACCTTTATAAATAGTGTTTTGTTCTCTTCTCCAACTAATGTGGATGACCATGATTTTGAAAAGTAGGCTAAGATTTTGATTAAGAGGGATATGTTTGAACTCAAAAGTGCTCATGCATTGCTTAATAGGAAGATGTTCTTTAACATCTTGTGTGGAAGATTATGATGTCCCTTGATGTTTTGAAGCATATACACTATTTTCACAAAAATCTTTTTTATATTTATTTTTGTTTAAATTATAAATTTAGTCCAACATTTAAAAAACATAATTCAGAGAAAATATTTAATGGTTCCAATCGTTTCGAGAATAAATTAGTAAAAATAATTTATGTATTTTAAAACGTGATAATTAAAATAAAACAAATTCAATTTACAAGAACTAAAATCATATTATAATATTCTCAAAACTTTATACATTTATTCAACACATTTTAAATTCCTATAATTATTTAGTTTTTTTTTTTTAGTTCAATTATATATTTTTAATCTATGATTAAACAAAATATTTTTGGAAAATTTCGTTGGAATCTCTAGCATTTCCCCTTCTCCCGCTATTTTTGTAAAGAGAGGAGAAAAAGAAAAAGCACAAACTTGAGTTCTCTCAATGCATTTCCCCCTTAAATGATCTGTTGTTTGTTCAACTGGGTTACAGATATCATCAATTTTTCTGTCAATCAAGGTAATGGAGCAGTTATAAGAACACTCCATCTCTTGCTTCCTCATTGGAAAAACGGCTGCAGGAGGAAAAGAAGGCCGATTTTGTTTGTTTCTTCTATCGTAGAGATTCTATTCCCATTTATGTAAGCATCCCTTCTCTCTCTTTCTCTCTTTCTCTCATGAATTTAATTTTACTCATATGATGTTCATAAGTTCATGCCTGCAATGTGTTTGTTCATTTGCCAATGATGGTGGAAGTTGTTTGAAGGTTGCTGCCACTGTCTCTTTTTTTGTGCTTTTTCGTTAGTTTTAGATTTTTCTTGATCTGGATTGTTGTTTCCTTCAATTCATTTGGTTTTGTTAGATTGCTGCCGGAACTTGAAGAAGCTAACATATACGTGTTACGAATTATTAGTGCAAACGTTTGAATCAGTTTAGAGTTCTTGAGAACTTCGTTTTTGAGTCGCAAGAACTAAATGTTTGAAATGAAGCTAAATATTACTGTTCTAGCTGGAGCACTGGTGCTCAATCCTCTTATTATGCCCATAGGTCTCTTCCTACTTATTATCGAGGAAGGCTTTGCCTATTCCAAGGCCAATCTCTAAGTAACAATCCAAACCCACTACTATAAGATATTGTCTCTTTGGGCTTTCTCTTTCGAGCTTTCGTTTAAGGTTTTTACAACGCGTCTACTAGGGAGAGGTTTCTAGACCCTTATAAAGAATGTTTCGTTTTTCTCCCCAACCGATGAGAGATCTCACAATCCACAGCCCTGAAGGGGTGGACACGAGGCGGTGTGCCAGAAAAGACACTAGGACCCGAAGGGGGGTGGATTGAGGGGTCTCACATCAATTGAAGTAGGGAACGAGTGCCAGCTAGGATGCGGAGTCTCGAAGGGGGGCGGATTGTGAGATCCCTCATCGGTTGGGGAGGGGAGAACGAAGCATTCTTTATAAGGATGTGGAAATCTCTCCCTAGTAGAAGCATTTTAAAAACCTTGAGGAAAAGCCCGAAAAGAAAAGTCAAAAGAGGACAATATCTACTAGCGGTGAGTTTAGGTCTATTACAAATGGTATCAGAGCCAGACACCAGGCAGTGTGCCAGCGAGGACGCTGGGCCTCAAGGGGTGGTTGTGAGATCTCGGTTAGAGGGGGAAACGAAACATTGCTTATAAGGGTGTAAAACCTCTCCCTAATAGATGCGTTTTAAAAAACCTTGAGGGGAAGCCTGGAAGGAAAAGTTTAAAGAGGACAATATCTACTGGCGGTGGGTTTGGGCTGCTACGTAATTGATCTAAATTTAGAAAACAGCAAGTATATCTCCAAACATCCCAATTCCGAAGCCCTTACCAGTTTCCCCACCACCCTTGGGACGCAAATTCTAAAAATTTCAGTCTTTTCTTTTCTGCTCTTTATCTTTGAAGTATTATTATGCTGAGAAACAATCTGAATCCTCATGAAAGCTGGCCACTGCAGCAAATAAAATTACCTGCACAATTGTAATTGTTGTTTGGCTTATTTGTTTTATTTTATTAACACTCACACCAATTTCTTCTGGATCGTTGAAGAATGGGGGATCATTTTTTCCTGTTGGTGGATCAGTTGCTCACTGAATCAAACCTTGAAGCTATTATTGAGAGATAAAAACATAATTCTTCATCCTATGGCCTCAACAAATGCAGATAATATGATACCTTCCATAGATATAGATATTGAATCCATATCACCTTCAAGTAAACTTGTTGAGTGCAGAATTTGTCATGATGAGGATGATGAATCAAATATGGAAACACCGTGCTCTTGCCGTGGCAGCTTGAAGGTTAGATTTAGTTTTGTCAATACCAACTGGTTTTACTTATAAAAAACTCAGATAGCTATTTTTTGAATCCCCCTTTTTAAACTTTATGACTGACTAAGTGGTTTCAACTCTGTAATATTCATGGCCGTTAAGAATGAGAAACAAAAGTGGGATCGAAAGTGCAATTACAGTTATACAACAAAATATATTCTACCAATATCTTTATATCTTAAATCAAATGTCATAATAATGACTCAGATTGGGGTGCTATTCTTGTTTTCCTTTCCCTTTCCAATCCTTATGCCTCGTTGTGTTAGTTTAGATGGTTCATCTTGATACTTGGCTTATAATCTGCTATAATTGCAGTATGCGCATCGCATGTGCGTTCAGCGGTGGTGCAACGAGAAAGGAAACATAATCTGCGAGATTTGCCACCAGGTCTGTTGTGTTTATATTAAAAAGAGATGTCTTTAATGCAGGGCTAAATTTATGGTATCAAGAACTCCTTTTTCTTCTTAGGACTTTAAGCCAGGGTACACAGCACCTCCCCATGTGTTTTATAATGGAGGTATTAGCTCACTAATGCATTTCAGGTAAGCCATTAACCAACCTATCTCCCCACAATGCATATAGTTTTCTTGTATATTGAGTTCCTGTTCATACATTTCTTCAACACTTTGATATCAAATTGTGGTCTCAGGGGAAGTTGGGAGATGTCAAGGCTGAACCAGCATGTCCCTGCAGAAATGCTCGATCACGAGTATCTCGATTCCGCGTTCGATGATTTCATCAGTCCCTCTCCATGCAGCGTACTGTGCTGCCGCATAGTTGCAGTAATGGTATTCCCTCTCTCTTCAATTTACTTCATTTGCAGTTTCCTTATCTCTGTAAACCAATTTTAAGTGTCTTGGTAATTGGCCTTGCTTTCTGCTGATTGAAAAGTATTGCATGTTTTTGCTCGTTGATTCCTTTTCATTGACTTATTGAGGCACCTAAGAAATTTAAAATTTAAAGACGAAAATGTAAGGAGTAAATGTTGAGGATCGTTGGGAGGGAGTTCCATGTTGACTAATTTAGGGAATGATCGTAGGATTATAAGTAAGGAATACATCTCCATTAATATGAGGTCTTTTGGGGAAGCCCAAAGCAAAGCCACGAGAGCTTAGGCTCAAAGTGGACAATATCATACCATTACGGAGAGGAGTTATTTTTAACAGTAAAATGTTTAATGTGGAGGAATGGATTTGGACCTTCAACCTCCATAAAAAGAGTAGATGCTTTAAAAGCTAAGCTATGCTCGTATTGACAACTAAGATATCATTCCGCCTGTTATTTTTCTCTCGTATTTGTATCATTATGACAGTTGGTTTGACCTGAAATCCTCGGTTTGAAACTGCTAATCATATCTGTATGTTGCAGTTTATCGTTCTCCTTGTTTTACGCCATACTCTTCCGATTATAATTAGTGGAGCTGGAGAGTTTTCACTGACATTGTTAATGGTAAGTTTGTTGCTCGGCCTTCCTCCATTGTTTAGACCAATGAAGAGCCACAAGTTCATGTTCTGTGTAATGCAGTTTCTGATCTTGAGAATTGTTGGGATTCTTCTGCCTATATATGTCATGGTTAGGGTATTTACCTCCATTCGAAGACGGCGTCATTATCAGGTTAGTGATCCAGTTGATATCTAGAATTGATATGCATAGCATTTAGTCATTTTCAGATTCTCGATGGAGGTGTGAGGTAGAAGTGAATATTTGTTGGTGCGAGATCCTACCTCAGTTGGGGAGGAGAACGAAACATTTTTTATAAAGGTGTGGAAACCTCTTTCTAGTATATGTGTTTTAAAAGCTTTGAGGGGAAGTCCGAAAGGGAAAGCCCAGAGAGTATAATATCGATTAGCGGTGGGCTTGAGGGCTCTTACAGTTCAGCTATTTCTATCACAAACTTATTCTCTTGTTTAACCATGTTTCATGTTATAATCACTACATATTTGTTTAATACCCATGAGATTAGTTGAAGTATGCATAAACTAACCTGACATGATTGCCTTTGATCATTTTTTTAAAGAAAGAAGAGAAGAAAAGAAAATAAACGTTCAACGCTCATGAGTCCATGAATGTTAAATAAAAAATAATACAAGGTTTAGTCTTTGAACTTTCGGGTTTATATCTATTTGATTTTTTAAGTTTAAGAAGTGTCGTTTAGGTCTCTAAACTTTAAACTACATACCCAAAAAGTCCATGAACTTTAAGAAATGTCTAATAAGTTTTTTGAACTTTCAATTATATACTTTCTGATAGGATCCCCCTCATCACCTCGCAACATCAGATGACGAAAGTGACTCGACGAGCCCTTCTCAACCGCGCTTCTTCGACTTGAGATAGCAGCAGTTCATTGTCCCCGTCTCTGATACGATGGAAACAATGTAACAAGAGAGAAAACGGTCAGAAGAACTGCGTAGAAGGTCATCGACTCATCAACACCATTCATGGCAAGGAAGTTAAGAGCTGCATACGGTCCTCGCAGCGAGCAACGAGCCACGACCCGGTTAGCTTCTGCAATGAAGTGTTCATCATTTGTGGTGAAACAGCAGAAACTTGTTTGGTTAGATTCAAACTCTTTATGCAATAGAATCATTGGCTCACTTACTCTCTTATGTATAAAGTGGGTAATGGTTAGAAGGGGCTTTGATCTTTGTATATAATATGGGCTTTGATCTTTGTATATAATATGTGTTGCTTCAAAGATGAATGTGTTTATCTATACATATATACATATATATACATACATATACATACATATACATACATATACATACATATACATACATATATTAGCTATGATGTTTAAAATATTAGTGTCGACAACAACGTTGAAACCTCAACTTTGTGAAAATATAGATAAAATACGGGAGTGATATTACTGAAAAATTGTAAAAACAAAAAATATTTAAACTTAAAAATAAATATTTTACACTTTTTTAATAAATATGCATTAAACAAATCTAAATGAATCTATTCGAACATAAGTTACTTGTAACTTTTTCAAACGAACACTTTTTACATCCGCTGACTTTAAATAAATTCATATCTAAATTTTTCAAAAATATTTTAAAACTCATCAGAATTTAATACAACTCATTAAAGTTTGAACCGTTTACCTTTGGAGAACATATTAGTTATAGAATATATATTAAATATTCATAATTAGAATATATTAGTTATGGAATATATATTAGTAATGAGTTAATATTTTTTGATTGGAGTAATCAATTAATATTTTTACTAGTAGTATATTTTAATTTTATTTTTTCAGATTTATTTAATTTATATTTTTTTTTATGGATAGGTATTAATTTATTAGTAGTATATTTTATTTTATTTTCAAGATTTATTTAGTTTATATTTTCTTTATTAATAGGTATTAGTTGGTAGCTTGTATCTTATTTAAAACGGTATGAATATGAATGAAGATTGCACGATCCCAATTCTATTTTTCATTCTTAACTTTATTATTTTATTGAGTAATAATATTTTTAGATCTTTTGAACTCTTGAGCAGTAGATTCCGAGAAGTAGGAATAATAAAAATATTTTACTAATTTATCTGTAAAGTAAAAAGTAAAAAGTAAAAAGAAGTCAAATTCACTATTCTGTTCAAAGTAGCTCACGAATGTACATGTGAATTTGCCTGTACTTTCAGCGAGAAGAGAAAATTAAAATAATAATAATAATAATAATAATAATAACAACAAACAAAAACAAATAATTTGGATCTGTGGTTCGAGCAGATCAGATCATCGTCTTCATCCACCTCGCCATTTTAGCAGCTCAAAGGTATTCTTATATCGAATCCTTTTTTCGCTCTTCAATCCTCCTCCTCCTCCCTCTCTATTGCAATACGCTCCATAGTAAGCTTCGTAGATGCATTTCTCTCCTCTTTTTCCTATCTTGTTGTTAGATTGATTCGTAGATGCATTTCTGATTGTAATGGAATTCTGTTTTTGTGATACGTGTTCAATCTTGTGGAGAAATTGAGATCTTATTCTTCTTAGTTCTAAAGTTCATTAGGTAATGTTAATGATTAAAAATCGGTCAATGGAGAAAGGAGTGGACAGTGTAGTTCTTTGTATTTCTTTTCTTTCCAATTCTTTAATCATGTACTCTGCATTAGTTGAGTGGTAGAACTTCCTGTTGCTGATATTAGATGTTATGCTTTCTATCGATGAAATATTCTCTTGTTTTATATCTGATTTTTGTCTGTCTGATAATGAATATAGAGCGCTGATGGTTGCCATCTATGTATTGCAGCTAGCTCTTCAATTGATCTTTAGCTTTCTTGAAGATTGATTGAAAGACACTTCCAGTTCATTTGCCCCTAACTTCGAACTAATGATTCGATGAACTTTACCTGCAGGCTGCAATTTTATAACTATTTGAGCTTGCCTAGTTCATCATGTCTGAGCATATCAAAGAGACTGAACGAGTGGACGGAGATGGACATGTTGGATCTCAAGAATCTACGTCTTCCTCTCGGAAGGAGGTTCGTGACTTCATACATACGCATTTTCGATTTGTAGAAGTTGATAACTAATTTTCTCTACAGGAGGAAGTTATAAAGAAAAAATATGGAGGGATTGTTCCCAAGAAGCCACCACTCATTTCTAAGGTGATTTGTTTCTTGTAAAAAATTATGCATTCTTTCAGTATGATTTTCAATGAGATCCTTGCATTCTTCTATATGGATGTCTAAAGCTTTTGAATCTCATCTTCAGGATCATGAACGTGCTTATTTTGATTCTGCTGATTGGGCATTGGGAAAGGTATTTATATTTTATCGCTCATAACACCATTTTTACTCGATCTCGAAATTGGTTTGCTTAACTTCACCTAGTGGCTAATATATCCTCCATATTTTGGCTAATGGCAGCAAGGAGTTGAGAAGCCTAAAGGACCTTTAGAAGCCCTTCGGCCAAAATTACAGGTTGGTAAATAATGTGCTTATTGATTTTGTCTCAGGTATGCAACCTTTGATATTATTTTAGGGTTGAGATCTTGAACACATGCACCGAACAGAGTGGTTGTATTTCTCAAAATTTAGACTTTGACCTCTTGAATAAAAGATTAGGGCATAACAGTTTTAATTTCAAATTCTTAAATTTCCAAGTTTAGTATCTAGTAGTTATATTAGAATGTCACACTTTTGTTTGGTAACTCTTGCTTGATTTTTTTTCTTGGAGAAATTTAGAATGTTAAAAGTGAAACTTCATTGCCTCCATTCATAAATAATTATAATAGTAGACATGGCTTTAATCCTTGGAAGGATGGTGCTGCCATTACCATATCTGCTACTACTTTTGCTTAAATTCAAGGATAACCTAGGACTTATGTGATTGCTATCTTTTTTCTCTTGCATAGCCAACACAACAGCAAACGCGATACCGGAAGTCTCCTTATGCTCCATCAGACGGCGAAGGTATAGTCACCTATTCAAGCTTTAACTAAAACGATCAATTTCGATAGTTTAAGGTGCCTGAACTTTTAATTGTGTAATAGGAATTGATTGTTTGGTTCTTAGTTTAACCTCTATGTGGCTTGTTAACTATATTATATAAGGATTACACAGCCAGTTGATTTCAAGCTGTATGTTGATGTAAATGTTAAATGCATCTTAGTTAATTACAGAGACAAAATACTATTTTAGGAGCCTATTAGAAAATTTTTAAGGACTAAATAAATTATATTCTAATATGATCGCGGTATATCTATTCACACAGATGGAGGAACTGCTCCAAATGAATTTGCAACTTCGAATGAATGAAGTGTTGCTTGTGCTCGTTGTACCTGTTGTATCGTATCTCACTCCTGTTGAATGCCTGCTTAGGTATGAGCAATTTTCTTTTGTTTTTTAGAATACAATTGCTCGGGTTCGGGGTTCGTTATTGTGCTTACATTAAGAATGTGTATTGTATGGAGGATGATAACTACATTCATCTATTTCATATTTGTCATTGATGACAAATATTATGACTGACCTTAAGTCAAATTCAAGAATGATGTAGTAAATCTTGTGAGATATGTGTATTGTAGACCATATGCCTTCATCTTACCTTTAAAAAAATGTTGTCTTTTCGAGTTACTTTGTAGTATGGATCTAGTCTTTAAACTTTTAAAAAAGGGTTCAAAATTGAATTTCGATGTATATTTTTATTTAGTCTCTATTGGCGACACGTCTATGACGTTGTAAGTATAATAACGCATGAAGGTGAGAATTTTGACCTTTCAATTGAATATGTCCAAGTTAGTTAAACCATGCCTATAAATTTATCATGTTCGTTTCATCGTGTCAATTTAGTTTAGATTGATCCAATAGATTTGCCGTGTAGTTCCTATTTTTTAAATACCTATAAACTAATATGAATTATTTATGGTTGCATATTCTATAATGTAATTCACTATAGATTGACAGAAAAGGGTAAAGTAATGGGCATGGGTTGAAGTATGTAAATGAGCCACAAAATGTAGAATAATTTTATACAAAATACTAAAACATTTAAATTTAAGTTTCTTTTTCCTTTTCTTTAAAAAATTCACAATAAGAAAACTCAAAATGATCGAGAGAGAGAAAAAAAAAACTTATAAAAATATCTAGATAATATCATAAATCTCTAAAATTTTCATAAATAAGAAATCAAATGAAGACAGAGACTAATTAATGTGAGTTTCTATTTTTTTTTTTTTTCTCGTTTCAATAGGTTCTTTGTGTGAATTTTAAGATATTAAATTTAAAAGCCTATTAAGAATTTTTCAAAATTTAAAAACGAAATAAATACAAATTTAAAAGATCATTTACTTAGCAAAGTAATACAACATCAAAATTTAGTTTAAACTCGTCTATTGAATCCTGAAAAAGACATTGGGATCTCAATACCATACTAACATGAAGCTGTAATTCAGACATTTTTACTTTACTCCCCATTGTAATTACATCAGTTCCCTAAGCAGAAGCTAAAAAAAAGCCTCAAAATGGTTCAAAAGTTACGACAAACGAAGTCTCGTGGTTTTCAAGCAGAAAAAAGAAAAAAAAAAAAGAAAGAAAAAGAAAAAACATCGACTCTTTGGGGGCGAACAGTGGTAGGCTCAAACACTACAAATCCATACATTTGCGTAACGTACATAACAGATCCAAGATGACATCGAACACAATCATTTTCTAAGAAACGCCACAGTGGTAACACGAGATCCCACAGATCCTCCAAATGTGAATGTCGGGTACGTACGAACATGACTGAGGTACTGAAATGTAGGCAGTTCTCTTTGTGTTCCATCAGACGACTCGGGTTCTGCTGCGGTACCAACCGTTCTTTGATTAAAGTTCTCAACTTCTTGCATAAGTTCATCTTTTGTACTGTTGCAGGAAGTGATCACCTACAGAAATTACCAGGAGTCGGTTCTAGTTGCATTGCAGTTCACCAAAGGAAGGATGCAATGTCTATGCACTAGCTCTAAGAGAATGAAATAACGAATTTGCCAAAAAATGATGGTAGGGAGTGTTCAGGCAGCTCGCAAGCATTTCATTACTCTCACATGCTCAAATATTTGAATGTTGGAAGACTAATAAAATTACAAAAATTTAAATAGCTGGCCGTAGGTTTCAAACTCAAAAATACTTTTAGTTTGTCATGTGTCCCACGAACACATTAGGATAGCTCATGGTGGTTTAGCATGAAGTACAAATTTCTTTTTCCAGTCAGAGCAGTGGGAGAGGGAAAAGAAAAGCCTTACCAGTAACCCGCCCGACGCCACTAGTTTCGATACAGATTCCCAATACATGATCCTGGAAACAGTAAAAAGGAAACAAAAATTTCCAATTACTTCGACCATTTATCAGTAATATCTATTTATTTTGGAGCATATGCCGCCCATGATCTATGCGAGCGAGCACCGATCCAATGAGAAACAGTCCAGATACAACAGCATTAGAGGATTATACTTGCTTATCGTTACCTTTTAATAGGACCATCTGGGTGCAATCCAATTGCATCTAAAGTTCCTTTATCCACAATGAGTTGAAATTTCCCTTCCAACTTTGTCTCAAGAACATCATCAACCTAAGCCATGCAAAACAATGCAATTAGGATGATGGCATTACATCAGGCATAAACTAAGTTATAAAATATTTCTACATAACAAATAAACGATCTACTGTTTTCTGACTATTCATGAATCACTGTAGTAAAATTTCAACATATATGTCCTTACTAATACCCTTGACATAAGACACGTTCAACAAATAGGAGTAGCACAAGGGATGAGTTGAATAATTCTAAGACGGTTGCTAGCAAACTAGTTTGTAACTTTCCTGCTTGTAAAATTTTCTGCTTCCATTTGCTTTTCGAATCTGCAGATAATCTTATGTTTATGTTTACACTGCTAAAAACTTCAAACTACACCCTACAGTGCTTGATTGAGAAAATTTTAGTAACTCAATTATATAGCTCATAAAGGCATCAAACCAATTAATATAACCAAGGGCATTTAACAACTATAACCATTTATCTAATACGTACTTCATTCATTTTATTTAATGAACTTTCAAAAGTTTCGATTATCATCTCTAAGACTTCAAATCATGTTTGCTACCTATGGTTGACGAAATACAGTTCTAACAATCATTTCTTGATACTTAGATGCAACATAATCTGACAAACAATTGGATGGATTTAAGAAATTAACTAATCATGCCCAATCTGTCTCCCAAATAAAATTTGTCAATATGCATCATCAATTACTGTCCCTTACCTGAGAAAAACAGCCAACAGTAAGTCCATTTAGATCTAATTCTCAAAACTAAGAATTTAAACAACTAAGATTTGAAAACTTAAAACGATCAAATAGACACAAAGATAGATAAGATTTATGGTAAAAAATATAATTTACCCTTCAAAAAATTATTAATCTAATTCGACCCAATAAGGCCACCTAAATCTCAAGATCGACAATAACTACTCACATCATATGTGCCACACAAGTCATATTACAGCCCCAGTAAAAATGTGACAATGTCGTTCACCAAACCTTTTCATTTTCTTAAAATTCCCAAAGTCCAGAAACACCACCAATTTAGTGGGTTGAAGGGAACTATGTTTCAAAGCACATCCAAGAGAGAGGCAAGAAGATCTGAAAAGATTTTGAATAAGTTGGGTAATCAAAATATCTGCGTGGCAAGTCATACCAAAAAGTTAATATTGGAAAAGCCATTTCGCTCTGCAAGACTTCTAGCAAGATCTATCGCCCCTTCACTGTAGTCAGTTCCTGTCAAATTAGAGAATCTGCAAGCAAATGCATGATGACAATCAGTAAGTACTGATGCAATTGTGAGATTGTTCATCCGTTGGTAACTAAAATCTAATATCCTTAATGATTAAATTGAGTTCAAAACTAGAGCCTATCACTTAACAACACTGGATAATTGGGAACCAATAACCTTCTAGTTGAGTGCAAAAGTCTTAATCACCTAGATTAACCCTTAAGTGGCTTGCCACAAATGCTGCACACATACTCTAAGAATCTATCTCGTTCTCCCTGTCGCAAGAGCTCTCTTCTGTTTCTTTCATTCCAAAAGATCCATATATAAAGTTTAACCAAAGTAACTAAACTTCTCCTTCAAGAAAAAGCCCTCCAAGAAAAGCATATGCAGGAAGTCTGGAAGTTATTTAGGTTCAACACCATATGGGTGGTTACCACAAAGGCCTTTCATAATCAGGAAGGCGTTATTCTTTTAGGTTGGAGGTCCTTTTTCTCAATTTGGGCTCCTTTTGTGTTGGCTATTTTTCTAGGCCGTCATTCTATCATATTTCTCCCTGAAATCTTAGTTTCTTATATAAAAAAAACTATATTCTTTTGACAATCTTAGGTTAGTGGATATTTCCCCAGAGTGTACATAACTGGTCAAATATGAAAGGAAGGTCTGTTAATTGGTTGTCATTCTCAACTTTAGAAGATACATGGATTAGAGAGAGTGACATTAGACCACGTTCCTCTTTCATTGAAAGAGGGAAATTCCAAATTGTCATAACTCCTTTGATCAAATGCCAATGTATACTTAAAATAGGGATTAGATCCTTTACAAGAGATGTATAAAGCATCAAACTTTAGATCTCTATGGCCCAATATAATATCTCCATCATTATCAACTAGTGTGCCAATCAATGGCTGCATCTCTTTGAATTTTTCAACCAATGGAGAAAAAAGAGGAGTGAAAAGAAAAGCGCCCTTTTCTTTTGCTCACTTCACTTCAGATTTTTGCCTCCAACGGAGTAGTCAACAAGAGAAAAAGGATCTATCATCAAAAATATATTTCCATATTTAAAAAAGAGATAAAATATCCCAACAATATCCTTTCACCTACTCAATTTATTAACCCAAACTAACACCTATCCAGTTGAAATACGACATAAGATAAAAAGAAAACGCTTCTCTTAAAGGTTAGCAAGAATCAAAAGGCACATCAAAACATACCCCTCCTTAGCAAATTCTTGAAGCAGCAAACCATTTCCCGTCCCAATATCAAGTACACTCCAACCATCCAAGAATTTGAAATCCTGTTCAACATTCTGTGTCTTTGCATTGTCAGCTTGATTGGGAAACTGACCTTGAGAAACATCAGAACACAAACTTTTTGTCCAAGAAGCAACAGTTTCCATAACTTCAGATCCAAACCTGAAGAACGAAAGAAGTATAAAAATAGAAAACTAGATAAATAAAAGTCTAGTCTCTCTCTTATTCTACCCAGCAATCTAAATTAACTTTTTTTTTATCATTAAAGTTTAACTTGTGAATCAAGTTTAACAAACCAAATTGAATTTGCAAAAAAAACATAGTCCTCAAGATGACTTATTGAGAATAATAATCAGGTATAATCATCCTTTGAATCACTAGTAACTAATATCCTGCTCAAAAAGTAAATAGTCCAGGAACAGTTCTTCAATCTCTCAACGGAACTACAGCAGTGCACAGAGAGTACTAAATATAGTACATTGACGAGGAAAGTGGTTAGAGAATATGATCATAGTTGAATAATATAGAAGGCCAAAAAAACATACACAAAAATGAAGTGCAGCGAACTGCTGACTACATCTTTTGTCATAATACCAATGACATAATGATATTACAAGAATAATAGAAAACAAGATACCTTAAGAAATTCTTACTTACCAGACTTCACCAACATGACCATGTTCACGGAAATTTGTCAATTCATCAGCATATTGAGAATCCCAGTAGCTTTGGAGACCTAGCATTGATGACACGGCTTCAGTATCTGCTTCTATTTCATCCTTGTCAGAACTGAAAAATGAAACAAGGTTTATTTAGAATGAAAATATGGCCATTTTTTGAATCTCATTATACCAGGTTAATAATATTATTAATTCTTAATCTGGTCAAGTAGTTAAGAACGAAATACTCTACTCCCCTGTGCATCACAGAGATTCTAAGCAAAATTTTCATAGATATCTATGAGTGATTGGATTTACTCATGTGTACCTTGACTAACCTTATATGATAGCCTTTGATCCTACGAAATTTAGTTACTAAGGAAATTTATAGGATATTAGGTATGACCACCATGGTTTGAACCCACTACCTTTAAGTCATTGGCAACCCACGATGGTCTCTAAGCATGTAGTAATTGTTACACGAGTTACGGGTAAACGTATTGAAACATAGATCTAATCTCTAGGCAAAGAGAAAAGGACACAACTACAACAGTTCTACTGCACTTACAGATTGAAGAGCTAAAGGGAAAAACAATATAAGAGATCCACCCGACGTCTATGGTACTAAGGAAAGAACGGGCAAGAGACTGGAGAAATGAGGATCTACTCGCACCATCAGGAATACAATATAAGCGTAATAGAAAACGTAATCTACATGAATTGCGCCGGAGAACCATATTCATTTATTTCAGAAATCAACGAGAATAACAAGATCATTGAATGCTTTGGGAATCAATCCTAAAGAGAAACCAAAACACCAAATAACCAACTTCCAAACAGAAACAACGTTTCAAACGAACTGCGTTTCAACTATTTTCAGTAAGATTCACACAATTCAAAAGAATTAACCACGTCATACCTGTAATCGGAAGCGGCACGCAAATTCCCAGCAGAAAGAGCCTCAGCAGCGTCGGCATTACGCTGATCATCGTCGAGGGTGCTACCGTACTCGCTCTTGATGGACCAAGAGTCAGCGGCCACTGATCGGTCATCGTCGGAGACCAGGTCGACAGCAGATGGGGCTGCCCGAGCCTGATGCAACAACTCGGCATCTTCCGGCGTCAATCGAATCGCAGCCATGATCGGAAAAATGGAAGAAAAAAAAAATCCTAATAGGAATCTAAGAAGTGAAATTGAATCGGAAGAACCTTGGTTGGTCCGACACGGAGGCGATCACAGCGGACGGTGGATCGATCTGATGATAAGGCGTCAATTTTGGGCTTTTTTTTTTTGCAAATATAATATAATATTAAGGTTGTTTTCTTCTTTGAAATTTTTTTTTTTTGAGATGAGATTAGCTTCAAAGTATTTTTATTTGAAAAATAAATTTCTAAAACTATTTATTAAAATCCTTTTAATTTAGAGAATAATAATAATCAGAATATCATGTGCATGTATTTATTATTATCCCTTATAGTTCATCGTAATTGTTTAATGTACCTTTTTATTTGACATTTTGACTTGTATATCACTTAATTCGGAATTACTTCAACATGATATATTGTAGCTTGTTAATTTTGAATCGCTAAAAAATTCACCAACCCGACCATTAAATTTATAGTTGTACCTTAACTCATTAGCAAACTAAATCCTTATATATATATATATATATATATATATATATATATATATATATATATATATATATAATATACAGTAATTTTTCGAAAGAATTAAATTATACTTTTTTAAATAGTAAACACTTATTTACTTATTTTATTTATCTTGAAATCTTGTCGGCCCAAAATGCTTGGGTCAAGCCTAATAAGCGAAATAGTGCAGGCCCAAAAATTTTGGGTCAAGCCCAATCAACGAAATATTGCAGGGCCAAACGATTGGGTCAAGCCCAATCAGCGAAATCTTGCAGGCCCAAAACGCTTGGGTCAAGCCCAATCAGCGAAAGAGTATAGGCCCAAAACGTTTGGCCCAAGACCAATCAGTGAAATATTGCAGGCCCAAAACTCTTGGGTCAAGCCCAATCAACGAAGTATTGCAGGCCCAAAACGCTTGGGTCAAGCCCAATCAACAACCGCCATGTTCCCTATTCTACAATGCGATGATTCCATTTCCATTTGCTTAAAGAAAAGAAAGAAAAAATTCACTCCTTCAAGCGCCTGTGCATCGCTTCAAACAAGCTGAAAACTGGAAAATATATGGTTTGTATCACTGTTTGTTGAATTAACCAGTCGCGCGCCAGCTCCATTCATCTTCCCGTCCTGTGAAACGGTCAGGCCTGATTCCCACTCTCGCCATTGTAACCTTCATATTCAATTCAAAGCTTAAACCTCTCTGTGATTAACCTCTTATTACATTTTTCTTTGATTTTGCTATTTGGAAACCATTTCGGATTTCTTTCTAGTCTATTTTGATACATTGATGCTAAGTTTTCTCCTCTATAATCATTTTTGTTTTACTGCTCTCAGAAAAAGCTGTGAATGCTGGAATGGCGTTTTGTAGAGCTGCAAAACGTTCCCTTGGATTTGTGATTTCTAATCGGCTGCTGAATAATGCGTGTCGGCATGGATTTTCCAGTTCTACTACTACTAGGGCGTTTGTTGTTAAAGGCGTTCAATATGGAGGTTCAGTTCCTTACACTCAGGATGCTAATTCTGCTCTTAGTTCGAGACTTAGTCTCTTGAGAAGATTTAGTGTCGAAACTCCTGCTGTCTCGGACCAGATGAGTCTCATAAAGCAGCTGAGAGAGAGAACTAGTGCACCTATTAAAGATGTCAAGGCTGCTCTTATTGATTGCAATTGGAATATTGGTAAGGCATCGTAATAGTTTATGAAACTTTCTTTTGCTTTCAGCTTCATTTGCTGATATCTAATGTTGAAATTTAATTACTTGGAGTTACAGAAGCGGCACAGACGGAACTGAGAAAAAGAGGAAAGGTGCTGGCCCTGAAAAAGTCTTCTCGAACTGCCGCTGAAGGCCTACTTGCCTTGGCTCAAAATGAAACCAAAGCTGTTGTTATTGAACTTAATTGCGAGACTGACTTTGTTGCTAGGAACGAGATTTTTCAATACTTGGTAAGTTTTTTCATTTCGCCTTCATTTTTATGCAACATTTCAATTTGAATACGTGTGAATTTCTATGCTTGTAAACAATCGTGTGCAGATTGTACGAACTTGTATAGTTTTTTTTTTTTTCTTCAGGAAGCCTTGTTCTTTTGCTTATAAGCTATCATATAATTTTTATCCCAGGCCCTATCTTTAGCAAGGCAAGCATTGTTGTCCGAAAGCTCATCTCATAACGTTTCTGGGACATTTCCTGTTGGTCTAGCGCAATTGGAGGTAATATGTTTGTCAAAATTATTTCGCTTGAATTTTTGTAACATGAGTGGCATTGATTAGATATCACAGTTTAGGAGCCCTTGAAAAGGTATTTTCCATTGTCTTCTTAGTTTATTAATTTCTCGGTAAATGATAACATTCACATTCAACTCCAGGAGGATCTTTTTTTATAAGAAAGGAAAATTCATTAATCAAAATAAGACGAATTGGGGAGGATCATTAAACTGGAGATGCTCAGTCTACTTAGGTCTCTTTTTTTATGCTCTTGATTGCAATGCTGTGAACTGCTGTAATTTCTAGGACAAGGCCTTGTGTAGATGTGGTATGGAGAGCTGATAGCTATACTCAAAACAATGTCCCCGTCTATTGAGTGCTTAAAACCAGGTGTAAATGGGTATTCTCGTTTCTTATAATTTGGACCGTGCTCCATTGAAAAACTTGGATAATATTCTTATAAGTTTGATTAAAATCAGATGCAAATAGATATCTTTCAGTTTTTATACATTTCTAATTGAATCATAGTTGAATAAACCTTTTTAGAATATCTAATCTACATTTGTAATGTAATTCTTTCCGCTTGTCAGAGAATGAAATTAAATCTTGAACACCCAAAAATTAGTGGAGAAACAACAGCTCTTAATGCAGTTACTGAAGTGGCAGGCATAATGGGAGAGAATATTAAGCTAAGACGAGGTTTTTTGATGTCTGCATCTTCAAGTGGTGTTATTTCTACATACCTCCATACAAGTCCTCAACCAGGTACTTTAACTGTCTTGTCCTGTTTTAGTGATGGAATATATGTTTCCTTGGGTGACTGGCATTCAGGTTTTTCGGCTTTGAAAAACATTAAACATATCTTAAATGGTGCATGTTTTTCCATTTAACACCAATGGCGTTCATTTTATGAATGCTTGGAGTGGCTTCTAGCCTTCTTTTCTTATATAATTTTCTCGAACGTTATGAACCTTGTGCATAGTGTGTGGATGAGGGGGGTGGATCTGATCTAGTGGAGTGAGAGGGGGTGGTTATGCCTGTGGAGCTAGGAGGTCCAGGGATTGGGTGCCTAAGATTACATAAGGAGGCCTTGTTGGCCAAGTGGTTGTGGCAGTTCTTTTACAGAGCCTAGTGGCACTAGGTTATAGTAAGTCAATATGACCAACATTTTTTTAAGTGGGTGATAAGTGGCGGTATTAAAGGTCCTTTTTTGAAACAAGAGACAAACTTTTCATGAAGGAAATGAAAAGAGACTAGTGCTCAAAATACAAACTCTAATGAGGAGTGGAAAAAAAACCATTAAAAAAATGAAGTAAAAAGAAAGGAGTTGCTAAAAGTCAAACGTCCACCTCTAGATAAAGGTGAATCTTTTCCATCTGTTTATCTATTTTTGAATCTTGGCAAGAACAGGCTGCCAAAAAGAGATCTTTTTCGGGTATCCACCAAGAGGAAGGCCAAGATAAAGAAACGACATTGACTCAACCTTACAACTAAGCCTTGTGGCAAACTGAATCAACTTTGATTCTTCCACATTTATTCCACATAAGGGCAGATTTTGCTCAATTAACCTTAGAACACCATTCAAAAAATTATTTATGAATGGAGGTCTCCTTATGGGCATCAGCACTAGGTCTTTTTTGTAATTATGATCTTGGTTTGATTTTGTTGGATTAGAATCCCTTTGTGTAGCTCTTAAGACTTCCTTTTTGTTGAGNTTGCTTTTTTTTTTTCTTTTTTTTTTTTTTTTTTTTTTTTTTTTTTTTTTTTTTTTTTTTTTTTTTTTTTTTTTTTTTTTTTTTTTTTTTTTTTTTTTTTTTTTTTTTTTTGTATGCCGTTATATTTTCTTTAATGTTTCTCAATCAAGGTTTGGTTTCCTAAAAAATAAAAGAAATTGTGCATAATGACAAATTGAGACTTAAGGTGAAAATTTTTCTTTATGTAAATTAAATGACATTCTGCAAATGGGAAAATTAGTATCGACTAAGTTGGGTAAATTTTTTGTCTTAACTTTCATTTTGTGTAATTTTCAGGTTTGGGTCGAATTGCTGGAATTTTATCTCTTGAAGTCGAGGGTGGTAGTTCACAGTCGGATGCTCTTCAACGTGTTGGATCAGAAGTAGCAATGCATATAGTGGCTGCGAAGCCATTGTTCTTGACAAAGGAACTTGTTTCTTCCGAAGCATTAGAGAACGAACGTGAAATTCTCCAGACTCAGGTCTGTGTACTATGTAGAATTTATTAAGTTTTAGTTTATTGCTTGTCCAAGATATTTTCTTTTCCCATCTATTATTTCCTTCCCCACACCCTTTTTCAATTCCAATATTGCATTACATGTCTGTTATCTGTCATTTTTTAAGAACAAAATGCACATTTTTATTGATAAACGAGAAGAAGCAAAAACTGCTCCAAGGATGCAAACTCTCGAAAGAGAAAAAGATATCAGTTGTCTGACATTTGTATTGAATTTGTATTTGGATCAGTTTGGTGATCTATTGTTGCTTCAGAATGGAGCCAGTTGACACACTGAGTGCACACGCACAAAGAAGTCTTGAAATTTTGATCTTGAGGACAGTGAATTGGCACTAAACACAAAAAGACGCGTCAAATTTGTGTCTATTTGTTATGTTTATTTATTTATGAACTCAGACAAGGTGGGACGATGTGGGGTACGCCCACATTGATGGGAACTTAAAATGAATTCATGGGCAGAAAAAATTTACATATTGTACTGAAGAGGATGAATGGTATGGTATAAAATGCCGAGTGGGTAGGCGGTTGTGTGAGTTACATATTTTATTAAATTATAAAATTACCTTTGTGTTAACAGGGTTATGTTGATTTAGTTGTATTTTAAAAAGTTCTAATAGGTCATTGAACTTTTAGGCATGTTTACTTTAGTCTCTACTTCAAAAAGATTCTGGTAAAGACTTTGTTTTTTTGTTAAATGTATGGTGGTGTTTGTGCTATTTTCCTGGACTTATCATTGTTACATTTGTTTTTTTCGCTGATAAATTTTGATGTTGACTAGTTTGTGGTATTTGATCTCTTATTTTAGTCATATCAATTTTTATGATTGTTTAATGTCATATTTATGTAAATGGATCATATGTCAGGCTGAAACTTCTGGCAAGTCTGGAATGGCCCTAGAAAAAATGGTTGAAGGTCGGTTACGGAAGTACATGGAAGAAGTTGTTCTTATGGAGCAAAAGTTTATTGTCGATGATAGTATTAATATAAAGGTGAGGTGCCAATCATATTCTCAATTTATATTTTCTCAGGAATCAATCTATACACTGATAATATTGAAAATTAATCATCAACCCAAATAAAAAGAGGGTCTGCAAGTGTATTGCCAGTGAATGGCGAGAGTGTGTTTTTGGTTTATTAAATTGAATTTTGATGCTTTTGTTTAAGATTTCAAATTTGTGCCTTTTTGCGTGTTCTTTTAAATATTGGTTATATTGGTACATTTAATGTCCAAGCATAATGCCATATTAGTTAATTTATAGATTTTGAGGTTATTCCCATTTTATTTTGTGCTAACTGCCATGGATTACTAAAAGAGTAAGATGTAAATTAGATATTCTGAAGTTATTGGTTAGCACAGATACTTTAGTCTAGCTAGCGTGTCTGTATCCAACACTTGCAAACTCCGACATTTATTAGACACATATCTGACACTTGTTAGCACAATAGTTGTACAAAGTCAGTATAGGTTCACCATTTGTTAGACACATCTGAACACTTGTTAAGTACATAAATAGACATGAAATGGTAAATTTTGAGAGTGAAATACTTCAAACTCATATTTCTAAGCATGTAAATGCATAAACTTGTAGACTTTGAATCTTCTTGTATAAATATAATATATATTTTAATAAACATGTCCTTTTCATGTCCATGTCCTAGATTTTTAAAAAATGACATTTCATAGTGTCTATGTCATGCCGTATCTGTGTCTCATGTCTGTATTTGTACTTCTTAGTATGTCTGGAAACCTTTTATTAATGTTCAAGAGAAGAAAAATTATATCCAGATGAATATGAGCCAATTGTAGTTTTCTATCTTCTATTTGGGTGTGCATTCACTCGTCGACTGGCTATGCTTTACTAGGAATAACTTGCGAGATCTAAATTTATTGTTTGAGGGCAACTGAAGAACATAAACATTTACCTAATGAAAATTAACACAGTAGTTCCAATTTTATTGGAAAGGTCCTAGAGGGCTAAATTTATACACACACGACCATTACTCTATGTCAGACCCTTACCATTTTTTTCTCTGAAAATCATGACGGATTTGATGATGGGCTCATAAGGTAGGATTCGAAACAGGAAAGATAAAGGAGGAACATTTAAGCGATTAATTATCAAATAATAATGGCAAGGAGTCCACTTTGAACAAAGATCTCAGAAGCTGCAAATTCATTGTAAATGTGTATGAACATTAGTAAATTTTAAATTGTATATTACCTATTTCTTCCAAGAATGGATTATTACGTATCATGCATGCTATATATATTTATATTTGTCATGGAACTCCTGTGCTTCTTAGATCTCCAGTTTAAGTTAAAAAAATATGTTGGAACTATTTTTCAGACATTGTTGGATAACCTGTCCAAGGAAGTGGGTTCGCCAGTGAAGATTGGTAACTTTCTAAGAGTGGGAGTCGGGGAAGGAATTGAAAGGTACGCTACTCATATATGTCATAGTGGTTTTATGATGTATCATTCTTTCTGAATGGAAGAATTTCACTGACCAGTTACGCCTCTCTTCATTTCTTCATTTGCTTAAAGATTCCTAGTCCAGTTTGACGTGTCATACTTGTCATTTATTATTAGTAACATCTGAGGTCTTGGGAACTTCGCTGAAATAAGAAATTCAAACCCAAAGTTGGAAGGTAACAAAATGACTTCCTAGTTGGCTATGCCGAGACTGTGATTGCAAAAGACCTAATCTATAGATTATCAAATTTAGATTACAAAAGTAGCTCCTGAACTCTATTCGAAGTCTTTATTTAATGTAGAGTTTTAATCAATGTTTTCAAATGCTAAACGTGGGCTCAAGGCTTTTTTTTTTTTTTTTTTTTTTTTTCCCCTTTAAGGAACCAGGGGAGCTGAAGCCTCAATTGAGTTTAAAAAAAAACATAAAATGATGAAGTTATGCATTATAAAACATAATAACTATATAAAGGTACAACAGGGAAAAAAATCTGTTAAAACTCAGCATTGTTATAACAAAATCAACTTTTTTAAATTTTGTCTTTAACCTTTGTGGTAATAGTCTAAGTTACCTAACTCATAGTATGTTAGAAAATCAAGATGATATTTATAAATCTGTATCTTGGTATAAATTGCTTAACCACTTCTCTTCCTATAGTTATGCTTCTCTATTAGCGGATTGGAAAAATCTCTTGTAATATTTCTGAAGAATAGAGAACAAATGAATATTATTCTATTTCAAGGTGTAGAGGCTCCAATCCTCTGTTTATTTCATGGCGGCATAAGTCTCCTATGATCATAAGAAGACGTATCACTCAAATGTAAAAAACCGCTCCTAATACATAAGAGCATATCCCTCAAAGCCTTTAAAACATTGGTTTCAAGCCAATGTTTTTAAAGAATTTCCACGACACTGATATGTTAAGAGATCTTCTCTCTTTTTAAATGATTTATAAATTGATGAATTTCTTTTGGGATACTGTCAGGACCTGATGGGTCTAATTTTTACTATTTTCACTGTAAATTGCAGGCTGGATACATCAGATTCATCTGAACCTGTGGCTCAGGCTGCATAAATATAGGTAAGGCTTTTGCAGGGATGGTATAGTGTTGATCTAAAGCTGCTCTTTATAATCGTAGTCTAAATTGTCCTTTTGGCTCCTCGGACTTCACTGACCAAGCATCTTAATATAGTTCCTTATCGGTGTTCTTTTAGGAGTAAAATTTTCTTTTGCTGGGTTTAATCTAGATATTAAGCGAGATAATTGTAATACTCACTAATTGACTCACATAAGACTATTTACCACATTTGTAGTTAGGGGGAGTGGAACAGTAATTATTGATATACATCATCGATCGTTCTAGATATTTACCAAGACAATTGCAATAATCACTAATTGATGCACATTTCATATTTTTCACACCTGTTATTAATTTTTTAGACCATCACATTTGTAATATTGGGTTTCTGCATTTTGCATAGGTCTGTTACTAGCTCTCCTATTTCTCAGCATCTCAAGGCTCATTTCCTACCAAAATTGTTCTTGGTAGTTAAGTTCCACTGCATTCTCAGTGCAGAAATTTTCAGGTGCAAGCATTACAAGGATTGTATCTATTGAGCCAGAAGACTTTCTGGTAACAACCTGTCTGCATTTTTGTTTATCGCTCGTGTCTGATTATTCGATTGACCGACCAATAAATTTTGATATCTGAGTCAGTTAAGAATTTATGTTACTTCACACAAATTGTGCCTCTGAAATTTGTATCCCAGAGTTAGATGAAGATAAGGAAATAGATCTTGGGAGTCCTGTTACTATTGATTGTATGATTAATTTGTGCTTTTGAAATGTTAGAGATTTTGATGATGCCAGTGAATTCCATGATTCATCTTTCTTTGAATTTTTCATTCAGTTGTCTTCTAGAAACTATGTATTAGCTCATTTGGGGGAAGGATTTGAATTTTATGGTACTCAAAAGTTCCTCTTTTTTCAAACACCTTCATTCTTAAATCTTGGCTAAGGTTTGAGATTAATGTGTTTAATTAGTTAATCTCAGCTGAGTCAATTGTAATAATCTTTTTTTTTTTAATTTTGTGTTTTATAGGATTTTTTAATTAAAAAAATATCTAACAATTAATTCAACACAACATATATCATTTATGAAATTAAAATTTGTCTAAGAGATCGATTTTAAAAAATTACTAGAATCAAAATTAAAATTTTCAAAAACCTATTTAACATCATTAAAAGAATCTCATACAGCTGAAAACTAACTATAACTTCGGAAAGAGTATGCATCACTAGATATCATTATTGAAAATGTTTTCAAATTGAAAATGGACATGCTAACAGTCAACTCTATATCCAGACTATGGAGGGGAAGAAGACTAAACGACCGAAATTTAAGTAGTGTTTTAAAATTTTGAAAGGGAGTCTGATAGGAAAAACTCAAAAAATACATCTGTTGGTTCAATTATGTCTATTTTCAATTCCAATAAACTGTTCAATCAAGTATACAGAAATGTCTTCAACTCAGAAATGTCTTCAACTCAGGCAAGCAACCATGCTGCACCTGATGTAAGATCAACTACAAGCGGCAAACAGAAGAAGCTATACAGAATCATATCATTTGTGTACTAACATGCAAAGCTTCAATGGGATCAGATCCCGCCCTTCACCAACGGGAGGCAGAGGGTTGCAAAATTAAACAATACACCACCTCTGCAACTACATCCAAAATCTTCCGGAGAAAAAACGATTGAACTATATTGATACAGTGTCCCATCTTTCTCAGCCTTTTCATTTACTAATTTCATTTAGTTGCCTAAAATGTTGTGTTAATCTTTCTTCAAGGCCTTCATAATGGAGCCTCGCACGGCGACTATTGCAAAGTATGACAAGATTGTAGTAGTAATGCCTCCAAGTAAGACAAAACGATCGTAAGCAGTAGCTTGGACAGTATACGTTCGGAGTCCTATGGTGTTCCAGTTGCTCTCTGTCCAAACAGGATCGACGGCGCCCATTGGGTCCGATGAATTTGGAGGAAGCACATTCCAAGATCCAGATTCGAACATCAATCGTGTTGAGTATGCTGGAACGTACCTGTTGCAAATAACTAAAGATATTTAACAAAGAAAGGCAGTACAACTAATCAAACTTTTAAATATTGTTATCAAACTTGCATAGTAGTTACATATTGAACCTGTTTTTTACTCCCCCCCCAAAAAAAGTAAAAATAAAACAATTTAGAGCATGGACAACTAATCAAATAATCTGTAATGTAGACGTTCCAGACTTCCCATTCGTAGTCAGACATCAATTTAGTCAAGTCGAATCAACCCACTTACAACCTCTATACTACAAAAAATTATTCAAGGTAGCTTGCAGTTTTGAACCATGGAATGTATGAGAGACTGCAAAACTACCTCAAATTAGTAAGATTTTTAAATCCACGAATTATTAAGAGACAGCCACATTGTGTCAGCTTCAATAAATAACTTTTTCCTACCTTACAGGCTTCAACATACTCTCTAGGACAATCCTTCCTCAAGGCCTCCTGCAGTTTTAAATATTCTCTAAGTTATCTTAATTTAAGTTTTTTTTGTTTTGTTTTGTTTTGTTTTAGTTTTGATGCAATGACTGAGTATGCCATGTGTCCACCAATGCACCATTCTAAATCAGTTGTGTCTAGCTATAAATATGGTGGTACCTGGTAGTTGATACAACACAAGTTCCCTTTCCAGTCTCCGCTCCAATGCACACCTCACTTTTGTCATCACAGTTCTGTGAACAGACAGAGCTAGTATTCTCTTTAGGTATGGATGTTCTGTCAGCTAAAAAGTTCCAAACAAATCTTGAAACATCGTGAACATAACCAGGATAAGGAGTAGAGGATGGTTCATCAAGGATAACACCAACATAATGGTTTGGACAGACATTGATCGGAGAAATATATCTCTTCACCAACTCACAAGAGAGGCCAGGGTCACAGTTCAGGAGACATCCTATAATCTCTTCAACCAACGAGGTGTTCAATTTGATAGCATTCAGGGCAGAACTACTCAATTCCTTTTTGTTGGTTGCAAGAATGTAAAGAGTTCGGGCAACAAGTAAAGCAGCTGCTTCAATAGCTGATGAGTTTATATTATCTGGATTGAAAAATAATATGAATAGTAAGAAAAAATAGGACCAGCTATACAACAATCGTCAATGAGCGACAAAATGGGAAAGGAAGGAAAGAAAAGAATGCAACTTACGTAAATCGTCCAGGTGACTCTGGTAAAATTGATTGGTAAAGCTAGTATCAAAGTCTTCTAATACCACCCCAGAGACCTGCGAGTTCTGTACGGACCAAAATAAACTTGTCAACTTATCTATCTCTTGGTGTACACGGTCTAATATCTTTACTTCATATAGCTATGCTTCCCTTTCGACCAATTGGAGAAGTGGTACGTAATCATCATGGATTATTATCCTTTTTATAAATTTTATACATCAATGAAATTGTTTCGCAAAACTCTAGTCTCAAACCTTGAATTGTGTGCCATCAATAAAAAAATCAGCAGGTTTGAACAATAGAGAGCAAGAAAATAGTAGCATCAAGTATGTTATTGATAAATACCTTTGCTAGAAATGCCATCAACGAAGATGGTGGTATCCCTGGATTTGTAGTACTAGCTGGTGAGACTTTTATGTTCTCAAATGGAAGCGACTCTTGAGCAAGCTTCAAGGCGTTCCATGTCTCATTCTTGGAAGATGAAACCTACAGGAGCAATATCTTGCTAAAATAATAGGTTGAAATAAAATCTTTTATTGAACATGACTATGTTATTCCGTGCATAATAAAATACTAGCAGAATAGCTAATGACATTACTAGGGCACCATATCGAACTAGTATATCAAAATAGATCAAGTATCTATGAAGAAAAATAATGGTAGCAGACTCTCGAGAGGTTGGATAAACAGTTTATCAATTTAGAACACAATTAAGAAGCAGTTAAGTAGTAACTGTCTGCATTTTTTACCTAATCAACCAGACAACACAGATGAGGGGGAAAAGAATCAAACACCATATTTTTCATTGAATCTAAGATGGCCTTTCCTGGCCATCACAGGCAAAATGAAAATTGGGTTTCATTGGGCAAATGACAGCCAACCATTTTGCGTTTCCTATTAAGTATCAATGTATTGATCACCATTTTGAGAGATTGGGAGGAGAAGCCTAATATCGCCTTTCTTCGTGCGTTCCTCTTGTTTTTGGTAATGAAATCCGTGTGTTCAGCAATTCTATAAAATTTTCCTTCTGCACTTTAGAACCAACCAATGCTGCTTGCAATAATCACTAGGTAAGTTGAACAAGCTATCCTTTTAAAGGGTTTAAGAATGTCATAAAGATTCTCAAATTCCATAAAAGCTGCTGTTTTGTTTTTCGAATTATTTTCTCAATATTTTAGATATTATATTAACCTTACAAACTTCTCACTCAAACATTAGAAAACACTTACGACAGTAATTTTAAGGAAATCAAAATATTTCTGCAATTCTCCACGTTCAACTATCCCCTCAAAAGGCCTAACATACAGTACAAGATTTTAAATGTTGCAGCAACATTTAAGATGTGTATGTTAGGTATCTAACACAAAATAACCTTAAATACACAGAAAACATACAACACAAGCAAATGGAAGCAATCAACACCGTTCAATTAATATTTCTTCAATGATCAATGGGTTATTTCAACCAAAGATATTGCAATCAACTAGGGAAAACAAGCAATTCAATACCCAAACACTCCAGTTAATCGAAAGAGAAGGAAATCTCTCCTAAGACATAATGTCCAATTCAACATAACAGCCACAAGCAACACAAGCCCTACAAAAACCTTACCCACACTGACTGTACACAAACGCACAATCCTCATGGTTCCCACCCTAACAGAAAAATCATTCTATTCCCTTTTTACCCTAGCTTTGGTAAGTATGCGTGATAGGATGTCTGACAGTATAGAGAAACCTTACAATAATAATAATAATAAAACAGTTTAGAGGAAAAAAGCCATTACCTCTGTCATGTGAGCGAAGAAGTTTCCAAATCCATCATTGGATTTCTTTCCAACAGAGCCAATTTCGAAAACCTAAATTGAAAAAGTAAAAGCACAGTAAGTTCAACTTTTTATCATTAACTTAAATAAAATGGATCTGAAGTATCAAAAAGAAAAGAAAGAACAACCAGATAAATGCAGCTCTAGCAAAAATATGTCACTTTTCATACATCATGACAAATCTGTATCATGTTATTCAAAGGGCATGTCATGCTTTACCACTTCAAATATGACTGCATGAAGACTGCATGACTCAACCAGGAGTCTGTGTAGCATCACTTTCCTTGCCTCATATGAGGGGAAAATTTATTGCCGATGTATTTCACTCACCCACATGCAATTGCCAATTTACATAAATTATCCCGGCAACAAGCCACCATCAATAGGTAGGGTTTCAGATGCTTGAAAACCATGCACTTCTTGAATTTTCTTTGTTCAAGATAAGTAGACGCATTTTCAATTTCCTATTCTTGCACTGGTTTAGACCAAGAATATATTTATCTTCTCGATGGAAAGAACAAATTAAGCAAATAAAATTTTGAAAATAAAGAGAAAAGCTTCAAAGATCAATATCCACCCACCAAAAACATAAAGAGCTGTACACATATTAAACCAACTGTTTTAGTATTTTTCTGATGATTCCTTACATCCATTATGTATTTCTCCAATGGTAACGCACTAGGAAGCCACTCAAACAAGAAAAGTAGAAAACGTATATTTTTCTTTAGAGAGTGACTATAATTCTACATTGAAAAGAGTACAAGAAAACTAAAATTCAGAGCACTAATTTACAAGTTCAGAAATATACCGTATCGATCAATGTATTGTTAAGGCCACTGACAGAATCGGACTGTAAATCAAGTTCAAGCAAAAATCTCCTACTACCAAGGTAGCCCCAAGACTCTCCAGTGAAGACAACAAAAACAAGCTGGATATTCACAAATAACTATTAGCAACTGAATAATGAGAAAAGGCAAAGGATACAAACTAGACTTAAAGCACCATGATCTATGTATTCAATCAGAATGAAGCCAAAGAATGGATACAAATTATAGACCATCTGCATATGAGCTTGGGATGATTATATCCCAGGCATCATCATCAAACCTCCAATACATTTCATAAATGCTAAAACATATATATAAAAAATGATACATAAGCATATAAATTTGGGCATCTTAGGGATAGAACCACTCAACTAAGTGTGTAAAATAAAACAAAAAGGACCAACAACAATAACTACTACCGGCGGGCTTGATTCTCTGTAATTCTAAAACCAAAAATATATTTCTTTTGAAACAAATATGAAAATCTTTAATGGAAATAATAATAAAAAGAGACTAATGCTCAAAAGTTACAAAACTCGAAGGAGAAATGAAAAGAAATAACTAAGAAATATATAAACAACAATCCAATTAATACTAAATCCTCTCCAACAAATAGCATAAAATAATTATCCAATTAAAACATAAAAAATGGCCAAGAATGCTGGGTTTGAGAAAAAGGGACTGACGGAGGAAGCGATCCAACAACTAAGAACCATCTTTTCTGCACACTAATCTAAAGTCAAATTCCGAAAATGAGAGAAGAGATTTGACAACTGAAAACCAACTAAAATATGCTCAACAGCACAAAACTCTAAACCAGCAAAATAAACATTCTCGTAATCTTCCAAAAGGGCTCCATAAAAACAATCAGCAACCTTTGAACTCCAAAACGAATAAATAAATAAAAAATAAAAACAATCTTCAAGACAACACGAAAAAGAACACCCCCTAAACCTCTGGATTACCAAGAAGTAATTCTCATTGCAGAACAATCAAAACGGATGAGTGAAACACAACTATAGATCTTAATTTGTGGTGACTAAGGAGTGATTTCTTACACTTGTAGTTCACAAACCTCGATTAAGGAATAGAATTTGGGAGGAATTAAAGGATACTTTGTTAATGATGTTGTTGATTGTAAAACTTTAACTAAATTTCTTTTATCAACAACAGAAAAAGAAAAAATAGGGCTTTCAAAGGCTTCTACAAAAGAGTCCAGGACAGAAAATTCATCGATATCTAATATCAACTAAATGTGGTTCAACTCGCTCACTGCTCATACTAACATCAGATAGTTCATCATGTTCGATATCATGAACAACTAGAGAGGAGATAGGGTCCCTAACCGGAAGAGCTAATGATCCCATTTTCTTTTCATCATGGTAATGAATTGCCTCAATCGCATATTGACAAAAGCATAATACGAAGGGCAGATAAAATGTTTTCAGATTGGTAATGAAGGCTTAAGCATCAACCACCTTCAGTTCACGGACAATACAATCCTCTTTTCTGAATTGGAAGATATCTCTTCCATAAAAGACATGATCAAGACGGTAAAAACCTTCAAAAAATTCTCATGGACAAAATATCAATCTCCAAAAAACAGAAATCATGGGCATCAATATTAGCACAGAGCACAGAGATTATTGAAGAAAGTGCTAGCATATAACCGAAGGAAGAATGACCAAATATGTACCTAGGATTACCTCTAAAAGGAAACCACAATTTTTTTCCCTTCTGGAAGACTATTATTGAAAAAATAGAAAGAAGGCTATCAACATGGTCATCATGTTATACTTCAAAAGGCGGAAGACTCACCCTAATACAAGCCCCATTATCCAACCTCCCCACTTACTACGTCTCTATTTGAAATGCCACAAAAAGTGGTTTTAGATATAGAAAGATAATTCAGAAACTACTTGTAGAAAGATGGCACACACCTTGTTCGATGAAATATTATAAACCTCCCAACAAAAAAGGGAGGCCTCGGTCTTTTCTTGATAAAGAAGAAGAACAAAGCTCTCCTCGCCAAATGTATATGAAGATATCATCACGAAGAAAAGGCGGTGTGGAGAAATCTTATAAAGGCTAAATATACTCCAACATCAAACAAAAATCAACCCCTCCATCATCTGCAAAAGGGCCTTGAAAGTACATAAAGAAACATCAAACCCTCATCACCAACCAAATTCACCATAGGGTGGGTGATGGAGGGAGCACATCATTCTGGACCGACCCATGGATTGAAAACACCACGCTTCTCTACAAAATCCTTGATGGGTGTGGTGTTTTCAATCCATAGGAAGGTCCAAAATGATGTGCTTCCTCCATCACCTACCCTACGACAAGTTCGGTTGGTGATGAGGTTTTGATGTTTCTTTATGTACTTCCAAGGCTCTTTTGCAGAAGAGGGAGGGGATTGATTATTGTTTGATGTTAGGAGTATATTTAGCCTTTATAAGATTTCTCCACAACGCCTTTTCTTCGTGATGATATCTTCATATACATTTGGCGAGGAGGGCTTTGTTCTTCTTCTTTATCGAGAAAAGACCGATGCCTCCCTTTTCTGTTGGGAGATTTATAATATTCCATCGAACAAGGTGTGCGTCTTCTTTCTAAAAGTAGTTTCTGAATAATCTTTCTATATCTGAAACCACTTTTTGTAGCATTTCAAATAGAGACATGTAGTAAGTGGGGAGGTTGGATAATGTGGCTTGTATTAGGGTGAGTCTTCCGCCTTTTGAAGTATAACATGATGACCATGTTGATAGCCTTCTTTCTATTTTTTCAATAATAGTCTTCTAGAAGGAAAAAAAATTGTGGTTTCCTTTTAGAGGTAATCCTAGGTACATATTCGGTCATTCTCCCTTTTTACGGTTATATGCTAGCACTTTCTTCAAAAATCTCTGTGCTAATATTGATGCCCATGATCTCTAGTCTTTTGAGATTGATATTTTGTCCATGAGAATCCTTCAAAGGTTTTTACTGTCTTGATCATGTCTTTTATGGAAGAGATATCTTCCAATTTTCAGAAAAGAGGATTGTATCGTCCGCAAACTGAAGGTGGTTGATGCTTAAGCCTTCGTTACCAATCTGAAAACCTTTTATCTACCCTTCGTATTTTGCTTTTGTCAGTATGCGACTGAAGTAGTCCATTACCATGATGAAAAGAAAATGGGATAGTGGATCCCCTTGTCGAAGACCCCGTGTGGCATAATCTTCCGTCTCGATCTTCCATTGATGATGATGAAGTTTGTGGATGAGATGCATCCTTTTATCCACCTTCGCCATTTTGAGCCAAATCCTTTTGTCACAAGAATGTTTTCAAGAAAAGTCCAATCAACCTTGTCGAAGGCCTTTTCCATGTCAAGTTTGATGACTAGACCTTTTTGTTTCTTTTTTTTTTTTTTTTTTTTTTTTT